CTTCCGCCACCTTATTTTCACTCTACCTTTCTTAAACTGACCAATATAAATTTTTAAATTTATTTTTTAAATTCAAAAACCTTCCAAACCCTACTAAAACTTTATTTAAATTTTATATCGATATATAATTTTTATTTTTTTCTTTTATTCTCCTAAATTAGAAATTATTTTATTTTTATTTGGCACTTCAAAAAATTTAAAAAAAATAAAGAATTGAATTATTCTCTATCACGCATTTTTATTCTTTCAATTTATTATTCAAATAATTTTTATTTTCATTTTAGAAAAATTTTTTTCTAAAAAAATTTTTTATCGGAATTTTTTTATTTCAAAAATTTTATTTAAATAAATTTTCTAACAACATTTTTTTGATAAATTCAAAAAAAATTATTTTTATAAAATTAGTGGTTTACTTGGCAACAACAACATATACCTTCACTATATTTAATTAATTTAATTAATTTATTTTCTCTTCAACAACACTAAAAATGGTAGTAATTTAATTAATCTTTTAAATATAGTCGGATTTCATAATAGTAAAAAATATTGGGGATTTTATTTTGGGAATAAATAAAAATTTGCCAAAATAAAAATTTGGGACCTGAATTTGTTACAAGATATATTTTTCGTCTCATAATCCAGAAAATATTTATCTTTAATAAATAATGAGTTTATAGTTTATACATTTTATCACTTTTTGGGGGGAGTTTGAGTGATTTTTATGGCCCCTGAAAGTTTATCACATAATGTTTAAAAGTAAATTTTTTTCGGAAAATAAAATTGATTCTATCTTGTAGCAAATTTCAAGGGCTTTCAAATAAGCCCAAAACGAAGTTTTTATTCTAACTGTAAGGGGTCGAAACTATTTTTTAAAGACGTCTACCCCCGGTTTTCCGTTGATTTTCGGGTTTCAAGATATCGATGACGGCAAAGCTCTCATCTAAATCTAAAATTTATCTAAAAGTTCAATTTTATATTAATTAAAATAAATTTTTTAGTTAATTTTTATTTTAAAATGAGTCATCAAAAAATTTTTTCCTTTCTAAAAAAATTAAATTAGGCAAACAAATAAAGAATAACTCTCTTTTAAAAAATTTTTTTTCACTTACCTTTTTTTTAAGTTTTTTATTTAAACAATTATGTATTCTTCTTCTTAAAAATTTTTTTTGGTTTCTATTTTTATCTTTTTTTTTCATAATTTAAGCTTTTCCTTTTCTTTCCCCCAAAAATTTTTTTTCAATTTAAATAAAATAGATAAACAAACAAATAAACTAAAAATAGGAAAATCAATTTTTTAAAATCTTCAAACAAAAAAAAATTTTTTTTTGTTAATTTAAATATATAAAAACAAATGTTTTTATTTAGTATTTTTAATTAGCCAATTAAAGAAAAATAAATTTTTTAATTTGCTATTTTCTTGAAAAAAATTTTATTTGAAGATTTTATTGTTGTAAATATTTTTAACACATGTATGAAAATGAAAAAAAAAATTTTTTTCTTCACACACATCTTCAGAAATCTTTTTTTTTGGTTACCCATTTAGGTGGGGGAGTTAGTCTTTATGTTTAAGTAATATCCTCAATTTTTAATATACACCTAAATATACACCTCAACTTTCAATTTCAAGGATGTAGTCTATATTGACCAGGGTTGGGGTCGTTTTGGCGCCGGGCTGTTTTGGCGCGCGAACAAAAAAGTGGCACTTAGGCGAGACCTAAATTTATAAAATTTTTCTCAAATTTCTTTAACATCCTTGACTACCTCCTCCAGAAATTTCAGAATTTTTCATCCAATATTTCCGAAGTTATAGTCGATAGACCTTGAAAAATTAGGCATTTTGCAGAAAATCAACATTTTTGGCCACAATTTCCGAAATTCTTGATCAAAAATTCTGAAATCTTTGGAGAACCTAGATAAAGGTGCGAGAGTTATTATTGCAAAACTTTATCATTTTTGATAACGAACTCGCTATCTTATAAGCTCGCGCCAAAACGGCCCCGCGCCAAAACGGCCCAGTCCCTATTGACCAGGGATAAAAATTCAATTCCCGATTTTTGGGAATCGGAAATCAGATCGGCTAGATCCCTGATACAGGCGGACTTCCCTTATAAAGTGTTTCTTCCTCTTGGCCATTTAAAAATGAGAATACATATGTACAATTTAAAGTCAATTTATAGTCAAATTAGACAAAATTGAACCAAAATTTTTATAGGTATGAAAAGTAGAAGGTAATTGAGGATGACATCGTTGACGCTATATTAGGTGAGGACTAGGTGTGTGTACTTTATTTTATTTTATGAAAACCAAAAAAAAAAAAAACAATTTTTAATTTTCTTTTTGTTTATTCAGTTTTTTAAACTTTAAATACTAATTTTTTCTATTTTCGTTTAAACAAAAAAAAAACATTTTTTCTTCTTTTTCAATTTTTATTTGTCAATTCCTTTTATGTTTTTAAAAGAAACAAAAATAAATTTATTTTTATTTTTTGCTATTTTTAGTCTTTGTTCTTTTTTTTCTTTTAAAAAAAACTTTTTTTTTATTAAATGTGAAAGTTTCAAGAATATAAACTTTCATGCTGAGAGAAAATATTATTTTTGTTTTGAATGGCATATTATTGTTAAATAAAAAAATTTTTTTCAAAAATTTTTTTATTTATTAAATCAATTTATGTATTTGTGTATTTAAAGCTAGGATAGCTCCCCAAACCTTTACGGTGCGTGTCGGGGTTCTTGCCAAAAATATCGTCGGGTTAGGGAGACGGGGAGCTACTCTAATTTAAATCCTATGCTTACAGCTGACGTAGTTTTAACGTTACGGCGGTGGTTACTAAAGATCGAGCAGGGCCAAGGCCCAGGCTTTTCAAAAATCTCGATCTCTAGTGGTTACCACGTGGTTTTCTTATTATACCCGTTTTTACCACTACCACACGTGGTCACCTAACGATGATTAGGTGACCATGTTCATATAACCATCGTTAAGTGACCGAGTTCTTATGATATGGGCCCTGTTACCGTATTTACTCGATTAATTCCCCACCCTCGAATAATTCCCCACCCCCTATTAATTCCCCATGCCACGCATGGGTTGAAAAAATAATTCCTCGGGGGAATTAATCGAGTAAATACGGTATATATATAGGAAGGTTTGACTTCAATTTCTGAAATATCTCATCCTTCTCTATCCAATCTCTCTCTTTTTTCTTTAAAATAAAATTCCTAAAAAAATTTTTGGCATTTTTAAATCTTTCAAAATTTAATATAGAATAATATTTTTAGTTCTTTGCTCATTTAAAGTGTTTTTGGGAAGTGTCTAGGGAAGGAGGGTCGGGAAAAAAGCTTTTTTTTGTTAAACAAATGAAGCTAAAAATAAATATTCAAAAAATAAATTTCTTATTTTTTTGCTAAAAATATGGAGAAATTTGTGTGTTTAAATTTAATTTAAAAAATAAATTTTTTTTTGTTGATTTTTAGAAGAAAAAAAAACATAAATTTGTGGAATAAAATAAAATATAAATTTATTTTTTGCAAAAAAAAAAATAAATTTTTTTTTCTCCAAAGAATAATTTTTTAAATTTTTTTTCATAAATTTATCAAAAAATTTTTCTTCAAAAAAAAATTCTTATGTACTCTCATTTTAACGTTAGTTTCTTTTTATATCTTCAAAATTACTTATACTATCTTCTATCTTCCTTATATCACAAATTATCCTTATATCTTCAAAAAATTTTTTTCTCCAAAAATTTTTTGAAAATTTTTGGAAATAGAAATCTTTAAAAAAATTTCAAAAAATTTTTTTCCCTTGGTTTTTACTAGGATTTTATTTTTTTTAATATTTCTTAAACTCTTCTACTTTCGTTGCTATGGGTTTTTATTTTTTAAATAAATTTTTATTAATTTCATTTTTTAAAAAAATCTTCTCTCTTTTTCAATTTTAGCTTTTAATTCTTTAAAGTGCTTGTATATTTTTTGTTTTTGTGTAAATTTTGACTTTGACTTTTTAAAGAATTTTTTTCTTCTTATTTTTGATTTTTGAAGATATATTTTATGTCAAAGACGAGTAAGTTTACCTCAACCCCAAAACTCGAATTCCGAAATTTTTTCAACCCAAACTCGATCCAAATAATTTTTTGAGACCCTGACTTGACTTTTTTTACAACCCGGCCAATCCTTTGAATATTTTAAATTTAGTAGCAAATAAACGGAGTGTCTCTAAATTTATCTTGAGTTCTACTAAATTCACAGAAAAAAAAACTTTTATTTAACCTTGAAAGTAGATTTTTAGAAATCCAAAAAAGAAAGACGGAATTTTTTGGAAAAAAATTTTTTTAATTTAATTTACCCCCAAATTTGGACTAAAAAATGACTTTAAAAATTTTTAAACTTAGACCCAGACAATTATTTTTTTAGTTTTTTTTTACTTCCCTTTTCTCTCTCATTTTTTAAAAAATATTTTTCTAACAAAAATACTTTTTTTTGGCTTCCTCTTTTTTTTTGTTAAATTGCGCGTTTAAAAAAAATTATTTTTTTAACTTTAAAATTGATTTTTGAAGATATATTTTTTGATTTTTGAAGATATATTTTATGTCAAAGACGAGTAAGTTTACCTCAACCCCAAAACTCGAATTCCGAAATTTTTTCAACCCAAACTCGATCCAAATAATTTTTTGAGACCCTGACTTGACTTTTTTTACAACCCGGCCAATCCTTTGAATATTTTAAATTTAGTAGCAAATAAACGGAGTGTCTCTAAATTTATCTTGAGTTCTACTAAATTCACAGAAAAAAAAACTTTTATTTAACCTTGAAAGTAGATTTTTAGAAATCCAAAAAAGAAAGACGGAATTTTTTGGAAAAAAATTTTTTTAATTTAATTTACCCCCAAATTTGGACTAAAAAATGACTTTAAAAATTTTTAAACTTAGACCCAGACAATTATTTTTTTAGTTTTTTTTTACTTCCCTTTTCTCTCTCATTTTTTAAAAAATATTTTTCTAACAAAAATACTTTTTTTTGGCTTCCTCTTTTTTTTTGTTAAATTGCGCGTTTAAAAAAAATTATTTTTTTAACTTTAAAATTGTGGGAAGACTTTTTAGTATTTATAATTGTCCTTTAAATTCTTTGCGTATTTATTTAATCCTTGTTTAAAAAAATTTTTTTAATGTAAAAAAGGAAGCCTTTTTAAATCTTTAAATATTTAATTAAAGTAAAAATTAATTTTTTTATTTTAAATATATTTTATATTTTTGTTCAATAAGTATAGATATCCTTATTATAAGACAAAATAGATATTATAAGAAAAAATTTTGTAAAGTCGCAACTCGTGTAGTGGCACCAGGGTTGTGCCGAAATAAAAATTCCCGACCCGAAAAACGTCGGGAATTCCCGATTTTCGTGAATCGGATTGGCATTTTAAAAAGCGAAACATGGAAGGCGAATCACTAATTGGGCGAACATTCAGTGAAAACGAAAGGCGAATTACACCTCTGACCCTTAGTATTGAAAATTGTCGACTAAACTTAGTTATTTACCCAGAATTGTCATGAGTTGGGAAAATAGTCGGATTTTGCGTCGGATCGGATTTCAAATAATCCGTGAGACATCCCTGTTGTGCACTAAAAGCAGACCACTAAAAGAGAGTTGCTACTTTGGTGTAGTGGGATAATGCTTAATTTGATGTGGAAGAATGGAAGGAGTTCGATCCCTTTTAATGCTCCGTGTACTTATTTACCTTTTTTAAAGTTAAAATTTATTTTTGTAGACATCCCTCAGATTTTGAAAAAAAATTTTTTTTTCGGAAAAATTAAAAAAATTTCTTTTAAAGGTTTTGATCACTTTAATTAACCACTTACAACAATGTCATCTTCCTCTTCCTCAAAAATTATTCTTTACAATGAAAATCCAAAAGAAGCATCAAAAACAACAACAATTATTAATTCTTCCCCAATTCAATTATCTAATGGATCTTTTGTTTGGCTTAACCAATTAAATTTTAATTTGGCTGATAATATGGAACAATGTTTCCAAGCTTTAACATCTGCTGGTCTTCCAATTGCTCCCAATCAGTCTTCTGATTCCTTGCCTTGGTGTAATGCTACTTGGGATACTGTAAGGATCTGACTTTATATACTTTCGAGCCTACCTTTAAGATACCCACCCTTGGGGTTGAAAATCGTCTCTTATAATGAGGCGTATCTTAAATATGGGCTACCGCTTAGGTATTCTTCGCTGGTGTGCCGAAACTGATTTTGAAAGGCGAAGGGCTAAAACCAAAAAAGGCAAAAATTCGGCGAAGAAAGATAAGAAGGGTAAAGGCAGATTCATTCTCAATCGCCTACCAAAAATTATAAAAAGATTCTTGAGAGTGTCTCTTATATTGAGTAACCCACCTCGTTTTAATTCCTTCATCTAGAAATTCTCGGTTTGTTGTTGTAGGCTAAACGATACCCTCTATTTAAGAAACATTCAATATAAGATACTTTCAGCCCCAAAGGGGGTATCTACAAATGACTTCTGATTCTATTAGCATTCAATAAATATTGAAAAAAAATTTTCTTTTTAAGGTACTTTGTTGGCCAGCTACACAAGGAGGACAATCAGTTACTTTGCAATGTCCACCATTAAAAGGGCTTGATCCTTCTAGTAAATTTGAAAAAAATTTTACTTAAAAAATTAATTAATTTTTAAAGAAACAATAACTAAATATTGCCATTCTTCGGGTAATTGGATGGGAAAAACAGAAAATGATTTTTCCCGTCCCCACGGCTGGACTAATTTTACAATGTGTTTTACTAGAGAAGTTGTAGCAATAATGCAACAATTAGATAATGGAACTCTTTATGAAGCTCAAGAAGTTGCTAAAAATGCTAGAAAATTGGAATTTGTTGGATTGGGTTTATCTCTAATTTCGTTGCTTTTTTGTGTTGCTATATTTACTAGTTTTCGGTAAATTTTTTGGTTTTACTGTCTATTGGGTTATCCAGTATCCTCCTCCCCCCCCCCCCCCGTCTTCAAGTGAGCGTATAACAGGGACCTGGGCTGCATGCCAATAAAATTTGACGTTATTTTTGGCTGATTTGTTGTTCTGATGTTTCGCGTGTTTTAAAAATTTGAAAAATTGGCGTTTGATTTTTGGCACGCCATGCGAGAAAATTTGGGACTGGGCCGTTTTGGCGCGGGGCCGTTTTGGCGCGAGCTTATAAGATAGCGAGTTCGTTATCAAAAATGATAAAATTTTGCAATAATAACTCTCGCACCTTTATCTAAGTTCTCCAAAAATTTCAGAATTTTTGATCAAGAATTTCGGAAATTGTGGCCAAAAATGTTGATTTTCTGCAAAATGCCTAATTTTTCGAGGTCTATCGACTATAACTTCGGAAATATTTGATGAAAAATTCTGAAATTTCTGGAGGAGGTAGTCAAGGATGTTAAAGAAATTCGAGAAAAATTTTATAAATTTAGGTCTCGCCTAAGTACCACTTTTTTGTTCTCGCGCCAAAACGGCCCGGCGCCAAAACGACCTCAACCCAGAAAATTTTGGCGCACAGCCCAATGTCCGTAATGGTTCGGTATACATATTTACTAGATTGTTCCTAGATTGGTTTGCTATATGGCGGGCCGTAATAATGTGTCTAGGATTTTTAACAAAGTTTTGATTGTCTCCGGAACTCCCCTTCTTCGAGTGGGTGTATAGTTGGGCCGGGTTATCCAATAGCCTAAACCTAGACTTTTTTGCGACCTGAAACCCTCCTTCGGCCCTTGCCTGATTTTTAGCAAAAATTAAATTTTTTTTCTCAATTTTCAAGGCGTCTTCGAGTATTTCGAAACCTTTTACATCTCCATTTAATGATAGCAATACTTGCAATGGTTTTATTACGTTTAGTTCTCTACATTGATTTAATATTTACTGATAGACTTGGACATCAACAATTAGTTAATCCACAGGGGAGAACTATTAACACAATGGTTTTTGTTTGTGAATTGATGTTTTTTCTGTTGGAATATTTTAAATCTGTTGCTTTTTGGTGGATGTTTTTGGAGGTGAATACATGCCAAAATTAATTTTTAAAATTTTTTTTTGTCCGCAAAAATTTTTGCGGACAAAATATTTGTCCGCAAATTTTTTGCGGACGTCCGCAAATTTGCGGATTTTTTAAAATTTTTCTAAAATTAATTTTCTTCAGGGTCTATTTCTTCACAATCAACTAGTATTAGCTGTTTTTAATACAACCCCACATTTATGGCCATATTTATTAACTGGTTATGGTGTTCCTTTTATTCATACTCTTGGCTGGTTAATTATACTTTTTATAAAGAAGAATGGAAAGTTGGAAAGGTGTTTGGGTAGTTATTATTTGGAGGTTGAATTTTGGATATTGGATGGACCTAGATTGGCACAACTTGTTGTAAGCAGAAATAAATTTTATTTTTTGCTGATTTTGTCCGCAAAACTTTTTTCCCTTCAAAAAATTTTGTTTTTGCGGACGTCCGCATTTTTTTCTCATGTGTCTGGAACCAAGGCTGTGCGCAATTGTTTGCGTTCCCTCTTATTTTGATTTTCCAATCCATAATTTACGGGCAATTTTTGCTGATAGTAATTTTTTGTCTGCAAAACGTTAATTACAAAAATCCTCAGAATAAAAAAATTTCTTTGTCCGCAAAAAAATTGCGGACGTCCGCAAAATTTTTTGCGGACGTCCGCAAAATTTTTTGCGGATTTGAAAAAAAATTTTTTTCAACAATGATTTATTGTTTTACGTTTTACATAATACCTATACCTATTTTTAAATTTAAAGATCAACACACTTATGCTTATCAATGTTATTAGAGTATTGTGGCTTAAAGTTCGCGATTCACGTTCTAGTAGTGAACTGCAAAGAACAAAGTAAAAAATTAAATAAAAATTTTTTAATTAATTTTTTTTCTTTTTTTTAAAGAAAATCTGTCAAAGCAGCTTTAATGTTAATTCCTTTGTTGGGTATTCCCAATATTATGCAAACAATTCCCTTTTCGCCCACACAAGACAATATTACTTATTTTGCTATTTGGACTTATTGTGCTTCTTTTACTTATATGTATCAAGGATTTATGATTGGTGAGGGATTTCTAAAAATCCGCAAAAAAAATTTTGTCCGCAAAAAATTTGCGGACGTCCGCAAAATTTTTGCGGATTTTTCAAAAAATTTTTTTGCGGATTTTTTCCAAATTTTTCCTAATATTTTCACAATCAAATTTTTCAGCAATAATTTATTGTTTTACCAATCGTGAAGTACAAACCGTCCTTAAAAATTGTTACAATCGTCACCGTCTAAAGCATTCCCGCCCCCTAGACAGGCATAAAGGTGGAGGTTCTCATTATACTCAAATAGCTTCAAAATACAATAATAACAACAATAGTAGCTCCAATGGAATTAATAATGATAATGAAAAACAACGTGGAGGGAAACTTGTTAGTGGAGGGCAAATAGCGAGTGTTGATAGTGGGGAAAGATTTTTATTTATTCGGTCAAAAATGATACAAGAATTGGAGGAGAGAGAAGGAGGAAACAATAATATTAAACAACTGTATGTTTAATTTTTGATAAGAAAATTTTGGAGGACTGTTTTGTCCGCAAAAATTTTTGTCCGCAAAATATTTGCGGACATCCGCAAATTTTTTGCGGACAAATTTTTTTATTTTTGCGGACAAAAATTTTTCGGACATACCTATAGAATAAATAAGTTTCCTAAAATTTAGAAACGAATCCAAAAACAACATTAACAACAATTCAATATCATCAAACCATCAATATACCAAACGTTGTTCTTTACCTATCAATAAACACAAAAGACATCCAATACTTCCCTCTACAAAAATTAAATTAAAAAAGCAATTATCAATTCATCAATATCAAGAAACAAATAATAACATTGAAGAGGAGAATTAAAAAAATAGAGCTTTGTATATTTCGAAAAAAATTACGGGTAATGAGGCTGTGCGCCAAGCAAAATTTCTTTTGTTTGGAACGCCAAATTTTTTAATTTTTGCATAATATATATTTTTTTATTTATTAAAAAATAAATGCTTCAAATTTATGCAACTTTTAATTTTAAATAAAATCCAGAATAGAAAGAAAAATAGGAGAGAGGTTTAACTTTGGAAATGTGCTTTTTTTAGTTTATTGATAGTTAGTTACAGTAAGACCTCGGTTTTTCGACACCCTTCAATTCAAGAAAAAATTTTTTTAAGCTTTTTCTTAGGTTATAGGTTGATACGATGTTAAAGGGTATATGCTAGGGAACGAGCCGTCCAGATTTCCCGAAATCTAGAATCTTGTTTTTTTTCAGAATTCCTTTCCCTCGTTTCCTTCCCTAAACCGAGGCCTTACTGTATATTAAGTGAATTGGCCGAATATTAAAAATGTGGGAAGATAGAAAATTGAAATTCTTATGAATGAATTAAAAATTCAACCACTTAATCAGCCATCATTAGAAAAAAAAGAGTGAGTTCACACACTCTTGTATATCAAAAATTAAATTACCGTATTTTTCCCAATAGAAGCGCATGCGCTTCTATTTTTCAACCCCCTCGTAGACTGCGCTTCTATTGGGACGTGCGCTTCAAATGGGACGTGCGCTTGTATTTTTCAACTCCTATTCGAATTAATTTTTATAAAATAGAAATTAAAAACAAATATTAAATCTATATAGAATTATCAATTTCAATTCCGTTTATATTGTCTTCATTAAGATTAGGGTTGCCGTTTTCGAGTCGGGCCGACGGTTGAGGCATTTTTTGGGCTTGTTTTTATCGAGTCGGGCTGATAAAATCGAGTCGGGCTTAATAAAATCCCACTTTATTCTAAAATCCCTAGCATCCTTGTTAAAGCTCTAAATCCATCATAATTTCTCCTAAAGCTTCTTTATCGCTTTATTGATAGTAAACAAGGAAGAAATCTGGCCCTTGATCTGCCAAAAGAGACTCCGGGAAAAAAGACAATTGAGACTCCGGCGGTAAAAAAGGATGAAATCACTGATATATGTACATCCAAATAACTGGTGCGTTTTCGAGTATAGCACCGGTTACATTACCTAAATATCAATTTCCGAACCGGAAGTAGAATCCATTTTTTATAAAAAGTGTAAATTATTAATGTAAATGAATAATACTTAGTTAAAATAGTAACTATGCTCAAATAAGTATTTCATAGGGTGCGCTTATAATAGGACGTGCGCTTCTAATGGGACCTGCGCTTGTATTTTTCAACCTCCTTGTAGACTGCGCTTCTAATGGGACGTGCGCTTCAAATGGGACGTGCACTTCTATTGGGAAAAATACGGTAGGTATATATTAAAAATTGCTGTATTTTAATTAAAATTAATTTTTTAATTTTTTATTCATGGCAACTGTTCATTTGTAGGCACCCAAATATCATTGCTTGATTGTTCATTAATTATACGCAAAACACGCGCATAAATTTCGTCTGCTGTTTGACCAGTTATTATTGCTACAAAATTAATATTTTTAAATTAATTTAGAATTTAAATTACAAGTAAATAAATCCCCAAAGTTTTGCTCTTGTCGTTGGCAACGTTCATATTGTTTAAGGGCGTCCTCATCTGTTAATTGTTGGTCTGACCAATCACTGAAAAATTTTGAAAGTTGAGAAAATAAATCAGAGAATATTTTTCCACTCCCAAGGGATCGTTAAGAAATATCTAAGATGACAGAAGTCGGAACTTGGAATTTCAACGACTTCTCTTCCCCAGAGCTATTTCGAAACTTCAACCTTCGAGGTTTTTTCCTTTCTATTTTCGAAGATTTTTCTACTTCGAAACAGCTCTGCTCCTCCCTGTGTTGATCTCATGGGGGTATTGAGTAAATAATGTTCAGAGCTGTGCGCCACGGAGTTTTTTCCTAGCTTCTTATGATTCCCTATTTTTCCCCTATTTTTAAATTAATTAAAAATCAAATAAATTTACCGCAATTGTTGATAGCTAAAAGGCTTAACAAAAATAGAAATTGGATAAATTCTGGCAGCGTCTTGTAATCGACGTATTGCATTACCAGAAACATCCAAAATACAATGGCGTCCCTTTAAAATTAGAAAAATTTAAATAAAAGAAAAAAAGAATTTTCATTACAGAATCCGCAACTTCACGTACAGCAGCAATACTTGTCCCATAAAGATTATTTTGAAATTGTCCAGCTTCAATAAATAAATTGTTTTTAATATCTCGTTCCATTTCTGCTTTTGTTACAAAATAATAATCTCTTCTGGAAAATTAAAAAAAATTTTTAGTTCAAATAGTAATACTTCAAATATTCATAGGGAAAAATAAGTTGAGAACTTCTTCAGAAAAATTAAGGATTTTTGAGAAAATACGGACTATTCTAAAATTTGTGACTTTTAGAAAAGTTGCGGACTCTCTGATAAAATTAAAGACCTTCTAGAAAAATTGTGGAATTTTTAAGAAAAGTTCGCAAAGATTATCCACAATTAATATTTACAAAAAAAATTATTTAAAAATAATTAATTTAGAAATCAACTTTAAATAATATTTGCGGGCATTTACGTAATTATTTCATTAAAAACTTTAAAAAATAATTTTTAAAAATTTACCCATTCACTTCACCATCTCTAACAGGTCTAGATGTATCTAAAAAACATCTCTTTTAATTTAAAAAACTTAAAAAATTATTCCTTACGTGGAACACAACTACTAAAACGTTCAGGATTTTGTGTTACCAATTCATCATTTATTCGATCCTTTAAAGCTCCAAGAATAATTACTGGACGAATATAAGAAACTTTAAAAATATTTAAATTTACTCAAAGACCAAATTTGTTATTTTACTTTGTTTCATTTGCACAATTTTGTAAGAATGGATTGGTTCATCAACTAGGGCATCTAAAAAATTTTTTAAAATTTAATTGAATAAAATTAAGGGTTAGTTGAAAAAATCAACAATTATTCAGTCTTTAGAGAAAAAAGAAAGCAAGAAACGCAGATTTCAAATATAGGTAGATTTCAGGGATCTAGCCGACATAAAAATTCAATTCCCGATTTTCGGGAATCGGGACGGCTAGATCCCCGGTAGATTTAAATAGAAACGATAAAAACTAAGGTTTTAGCGCAGGTTAAATTATTCTAGCAACAATAAAGTTAGAAGAAAACAACTCCAAAACAACAGGAAATACAAACAAAAGTACAAAAAGAGTCCGAAAATATCAGTCCATACTAGGGTTTCACCGGAAGTTCTGGTTCCGGAATCCGGAACTCAAATTGGATCCGTTTCCGGTCAAAATTTCGGTTCTGGTGAAACCCTAGTCCATACTCTTCTAAGAGAAACAGCAAAAAACATAAATGAAACAGCAGAAACACGACTGTTTTTTGCTTACAATTCCAATGTTGAGAATGTCTCTTTTTAATTTTTTGTTGATTTTCTTTTGACTTTTCTTCATTTTCCTCCCTTTTATTTCTCCTAGAACGAGTATTCTGATTTGCTTCACTATCACTAACAATATAAGAAGGGTCTGCTGTAGATGTTGATGGATAATTTGTTGCTGATGCTTTTTCCCTAAGTCTGCGATACCTTCCTAATTTTTTTTGGATTAAAAAAGGAAAATTTGATTCGATTAAGAAAATTTCTTAGAAAGAAGTCCTAGAAAGACTGATAAAATATTATAAAGAAAAGAGAATTTCACATAAGAGAAGAAATTGTTAAACGTAAAATTGAGGTTAAAAAGGGAAGGAAATTGGTAAGAAAAAAATGTCTCATTGTCAGATATAGTTGTTGGTTCTTGGAAAGCTTCGAATATTAGGAACCGAACCGAAAAGTCCCCTTGGTTCTATAGTTCAGAACCAACAACCATAGTTTTGAATCATTATACAAAATATTTGAGATATAAACGAAGATCAAATGCTATAAATTTAAAAAAAATTTTAAAAACCCACTTTCAGCCCCATCAGAATTGTATTCATTAAGTTTTTCTGTTGATTTAACAAAAGGAAATTTTCTTGAAAAGGATAGTTGACTTCGAGAACCTCGACGACCTTTTTTAAAGAATTTCTGATTTTAAATAAAAATTTAAAAAAAAAACCTTCCATTCCACCCAACCCAGCTGCTGATGCTCCCGAAGTTGTGCTGTTACGCCCCAAACTTTGACTACCAGCATTAAAATTTACTTGTTTTCTTCTTTGCCTTTCACGTTTTTCTACTCTTTTTCTTGAAGGTATAATTCCCTCTGGGCCTTCTTCACCACTTAAATTATCCATTACTCTTCTAGCTGTCCACCAATCATCATCAGTAGCATTTAATACATGAAGAATATCGCCATAACGGAAAGATAATGAACGGTGAGGTAATCCTTTTTAAAAATAAAAAATTGTATTTTTTTCATTTTCAGAAGAATCTCTCAAGGGAATTTGATTTTTTAAATGCCATTCGGTAAGTCCAAGACGGAAACTTCACCCAAAGACCAAGACCAAAAAAAACACAAGAAGTCTTTAATCAAGAGTCTTGTACGTCTTTACAATTAGATAGAGGACCCCCAGGGTATATTGCGAAGTGATATACGTTTTCTAACAAAATGACTCTGGGTGACCAAGTTATGGCCTCCCAAAAGTTTGGAAGTTTGGAATCATCACTTAGTAGTAAATAGAGGAAAAACAAAACAAAATATTCCATTCTTTTCCAATTAAGAAAATTAAGAGATTTAACTCTTTCCAAAAAATATTTTTAAAATTATTTTCAATATTTACCAGTATCTCTAGAAGGTTCATTATCAAAAAGAGCACGAACATAAAAATCAGTTTGTTGTTGTTGTTGAATATATGGCTGTTGTAATTGTTGTTGTTGTTGCATTAAAATCATTTCTGCTTTTAAACGTTCCAATTTTTGTTCAAAATTTTGAAAATCTTTAAAAGAAATTTTTTATAAAAATTTAAAAAAATTAAAAACCTAAAGGTCTGTATTTAAGCAATAATTGAACTTCAGAATATAGAGGTATAGCTTTAAGAGTTTGTGCAGCTTGAGCATGTGTGGCACGAGACAAATCAACATCATTAACTCTTAAAAGAACATCTCCCTGAAAATTTTTTAAATAAAATTGGAACAAGATTAGAGGAAATTTGGCCAATTTTAGTGAAATCAAAAACCAATTTTGACAACTTTGTCTTGAGGATATCAAAAATACCACTTCAAGGAATGCCAAGGTTTAGAGAAAAAAATGAGGCGAGTTTTTCACGCTTCTCCCCAACTACGGGCCTGGTATTAAATATTAGAAAAAACCTTTTTAATATTTCCATTTAAATCTGCAGCCCCTCCAGGAAGTATATGGCTAATATAAATTGGTTCTTCATTTTCTCCACCAACAATATTAAATCCTAATCCCGTATCCAATTTACGTAAACGAACTAAACGAGGGACATCAAATTGTGGTTGTTTTAATTGTTGGGTTGTTGATGAAAAGCCTCCACCAATTGAATGGGAATCGGCTGCTGTTGGGGAAGTTATACCACCACCAATAGTTTCAAAAGTCTAAAGGGAAATATTTAAATATCAAAGACTAAAGGAACACGAGATTTTCTAAAATTATGTAAAATGAGTTGGGAGCAGGAGGTGACCTTGCATCGTCTCTTGTACTCTAAAGGGATGGGTTTGGGTTGAGAAAGGTCTGATAGTGTTTCAGGTTTCAAAAAATTTTCTTGGGATCAGGCTTTGACAGGAAAAACCCCGACCCATCTCTGGTAGTTGTTGCCTACACAATTAGACCACCCGGCCATAAATAGATCATTTTATTTTTCGTTATAGGTACACTCACTAACCCCAAGATAATTAAACACCTTCATCTCCCCCTCAAAAATTATTTTATAAACCTGTAAAGATCTAGATCGATCACTTTCATCTAATTGTCTTCCATCTAAAGGCAATTCTGGATGTGGATTTTTCATATAAAGAAGGCTTGCTCTCTCCCCAGTATTCTTCAAAGTTTGTACCGCAAATTGATGTGTAACATTATTAAATATAATATTATCTACTGCCAAAATTTGATCTCCTTTTTGTAAACGACCATCAAAATAAGCTGGTGAGCCTTCTATAATACGTGTTACAAATATTCCATCATCGCCTAAAAATTTAGAAAATTGTAAAAAAAATTTTTATCGATTAAGAAACATTTGCGGACATTTTTTAAAGATTGGGTGAGAAGCAGGACATCACTTTGACGTCAAATACACCCCCGGAAAATTCTAAGCGTGGTTTAGGGCGTAATACAGTGACCCCATTTTGCTTCAAACTCAATAGAAATCAGTTTAGACCAGGGTTCGGATCGAGAAAATGTCAAGTGTAAGTACAAAAAGTTCAAATTGGAAGTACACAGGGAGAAAAATTTTCAAAATGTAAGTACGCTACAAAAAAATTTTTCAAAAACCTTTTTTAGTGCCGGAGCTGCTAAAAAGTCTTCCATTTTTTGCGCCGTAGGCGAAAATTTTGAGAATTTTGGGGGTCCTTAAGCCAGATTTCTTCCATTTTTTGCGCCGCAGGCGAAAATTTTGGAATTTTTAATGTTAAATTTAATTTTTTAACAAAAAGTCTATTTGTAAGTACGTACTTACAAATAAGTACATTTTTAATTTTGGAAGTACGAAGGTCGATTTGTAAGTACTGTACTTCCAAAATAAGTACGAATCCGAACCCTGGTTTAGACCCTAAAGTCAGCAAATTTTTGTCCGCATATTTTTGCGGACAGTCCGCAAATTTTTAGGCGCTAGTCTAGTTTATGCGTCCAAGGAACTTTTATGCATCCAATTTTTCGTTGATTGGACGCATAAACTAGACCAGCGCCAAATTAAAAAACCAAACCAGGAATGTGTTGATTTCCAACACCTCCAGCAATACTAAATCCTAAACCTTTAGAGCGACCATCGGCATTGAGCATCTTAAAATTTTTGAATAAAAATTTCCTTTTTAATTAACAAAAAAAACCTTAATTAATTCCATTCTTTTAACCCCCGGTTTTCTTTCCAAATCTCGAATAGCTTCACTAATAATTGGTTGTTGATGACTTGGAACAATTGGTGGAGATGTCCCAATATTGAAATTTGAGGCAGAAAGGCTTACTGGAGAAATTCTGGATAATGGCTCGATTGGAGATGAACGAAAAGTTTCTGCTGTAGCCAAGGGAGGTTTTAAACGTTTAACTAACTGGAAAAAAATTTTTTTTTGTAAATTTTAGAAAAATTTCTAACCAAACGAACAACACTTCCAGAACTTTTTAATGCGTCAACTGCTACCTAAAATTTAAATTTATCAAGAAAAAATATGTCTGAATTTGTTTTTATTATCATTGAGAATTTCATTTTTGAAGGTCTTTCTTCGATTTTGGTTTTTTGGAAAATTAAAAAAATTAAAAAAAAATTTTTCTAAAAAATTTTTTTGTCCGATTTTAGAGTACTTCCTGAATTTCTTTTTTCTCTAAAAATTTTTGAATATTCAAAATCTAAACAAGAAACCCAAAAAATGATAAACAATAGATAAAAGCAAAAATACACAATTTTCGAATTTTAAAGAAATTTTAGAGAAAAAAATAAAAAAAATATACTTGATGTTGGACATTAACAGTTTCTGTTGTATTTACTTTCAAAATAATATCGCCAACTTGAATACGTCCATCGCGAGCAACTGCTCCCTACAATGAAAATTTTTATAATAAAAAAAATTTTCCCTTACTCCAGGCGAAATATCAGTTACTCGAATCTCTGGCCCTGTGCTGTGATCTTTACCACCAGAAATTGAAAATCCCTTAAAAATAAATTTGAAAACCCATTCTCGAGTTACAAATAAAAAATAAACCAATCCAAATTGATTTTTCTCCAATACAACGTCATCAATTTCCCATTCACGTCCCTGATCGTCTATTAATCCAACATTGCTAACCGTTTCTGTTTGAAAACTGCCTGGTGTATCCAATGTTTTTGTTTTATATTCGGATGTTTGCCAACCATCTTTTGTCTTTAAATTTAAAAAAATATATTTTAAATATCGATTATCCGCAAATTTTTTGCGGACAAAGATTTGCGGACTTTTACCAATTTTTGCTTAAATGATACAAATTTGTTCATAATTTTAGTGAACCTAGGTTTGTAGAGTCCAAATCAGGGAAGAGTTGGATTATCCAAAATCAGATCCTAGAGCCGAAACCTCTGAACTTTTTTCGGCTCGAAATCCGAAACGCGATCCGAAGAAAATTTCGAAACCTAGATCCAAAACTCGACCCGACTTTTCCCTATCCCCAGCCGTTCCCTAGCCCATGAAAGTTTTATGAATTCATCCGCAAGTATTGTCCGCAAAAACTCATAATAATCTCCCCTTTTAATTTAAACAAAAATCAAAACCCCCCTTACCAAATGCCGACTTTGTTCATGGTACGAGTAGGAATGTTGCGAAGTTGTTTTAGTCGTCAACGGTTCATTTGTATCCCCTCCTCCAACCCCATTTGTATAAGGCAAACCATTACTTGTTGCAGCATAAGTAGAAGGAAATATTGGAGGGGGAGGGGGACGGCGTTGTTGCCCTTCTCCAAATAAAGAAGATTTTCCCGTTGAAAATGGGGGATTTGTTTCCCATTTTTCTGCAAGTTTTTTTGTTTCCAATGTTTTCAAGTCTAAAGGCACTCTTTCATTAATTAAAGTATTGTCATAAAAATCTTGAATATCTGAAAATTGAAAAAAAAATTTTTTTGAAAAATTTTGAAAAATTTTCCCCAACCTAAAAGAGCTTGAAACAAATTAGTTTTGAAGAGGCCAATAACCCTTTCAATGGCACAACGCAAATCGGAGTCGGATGGGCGAGTCAAGGCTGCATGAAAGGCTTCGAGTTGTTCTAATGCGCGGTGAGCTTCTGAAAAAAAATTTTTTTGAAAATTTATAGAAAATTTTCCAGAAATTTTTTAAAAATTTTTTAAAAATCTTCTTGAAATTTTTTTTATTTTTTCAAAAAAAAATTCAAAAATTTTTTTTGAAATTTTTAAAAATTAAAAAAAATTACCTGTTGATCTAACCGGCATAATTCTATTAAAATTAGCAATTAATTCATTAAATTAATTAATTAGTATTTAAGTAATTAACGTTAAATATTTGTATATTTACACACACAAAAGTCCGTTGAAAAATCCTCAATTAAAAAGCTTTACGTACATAGTGTAAATTGGCTATTTTATGTAAAATGTCCGTAAAAACGAGGGAATTAAGGGATAAAACAAATAAAAAAATAAAGTTAAAGACTGTCACAATTATTTAAGAAATAAATTGAGAGGGGAGGGGGGTTGTTTTGTGAGAATACGGTCAAGGAAAAACAATTTACGGATTAATTAAAAATACGGGCATATTTTTAATTAAAAAAGTGCGCAAATATTTGCGTTTTTTGAGCATTTTTTTTTATTCCAAAAATTGGCTTGAAAAAAAATTTTTTCACATCTAAAAAATTTTTAACAGAAAAATCAAAGAATTTTCAGATATTTTAAGAACGCAAATATTTTTGCGCACACCCATTTTTAATTCTCAGATTTTTTGTCTCAATGAGTCATTAAGTGAGTCATTTTATTTTTAAGGATAATTTCTTAAAATTTTTTGACAGGAAAATAAAAGAAAAAAGAGGTGTTTTAGCCAGTTATTTTGGTAAACAAAAAAATTAAAAAATTTATAAAAAATAGTGACCGGCGCCGGAACGGACCCCGGCCGGATTTTCCGAAGTCTTTGTCCCAAATCCTCGGGTTTTATGAGATTTCCGGACTAAACCCGGATCGGAATGATCCGGAAAAATCTGGCCGGATCCGGTCCGGCATAAGTGGAAATCTAAAATCCGGTTCCGGGTCCGGAAAAATGATTTTGCCGGTCACTAATAAAAAAAGTGTCTGAGACTCTAATGGGTTAAAAATTAAAATTTTGTGATTGTTTTTCAATTTTTGTGCTTAAAAAATTGAAAAACAGTCAAAATAAATGGGCCGAAAAAAGTTCTCTCAAACGAATTACCTAAAAACAATTTTAAATATAAACCGGTTTCTAGGCTTTTATTTCAAAAAAAACGTAAAAGAAAATAAAAACGGCGAAAAAGAAAATGTAAAAGAGGGGATAGTTGATATCCCCCCTTCCCCCTCCCTCTTCCCTTTTCTCATTTTAAAATTGCTTTAAAATGAACAAAAGTTTGAAAATTATTTTAGAAAACGTTTAAAATGTGAGGGAGGAAAATGTCAAAAAATTAAATAAAAAATGTGCACTTTAGAGTCTGAGGAAATTAAATAGTAGAGATCGACACGGGACCCCGCGCGGGATTTTACGGGATCCCGTCCCGGAATCCCGGGTTTTTCGCGGAAAACGGGATTTACGGGATTAATCCCGCGGGATCCAGTCCCGTACAAAATGTTGAAAAAAATCCCGTTACGGGATCCCGGGACTCTAATGTCATAGGGCTGAAAAATCAAGGTCAGCTGGACTGAAATGATCAATAATTGGAAGTAAAGTATGCTCAAAGAAATAAAAAAATCAAGAAAAATCAAGTGAAGCAGTAAATGTAAGACTAGAAAAGGAACGGGTCAGGGACCCGGTTTTCGGGTCCCTTTCCCGTTTTTGAAGCAACGGGATGAAAACGGGAACGGGAATTCCCGGTCCGAGTCCTCCCGGTCAACTTTCAGAACCCGTTTCCCGGACCCGGTCTTTTCAAAATTCCGATCTCTGTGTAAAACAAACGCCAAGACTCTAACAGTCCCGAAAAATTCTTTGAGAAATAATTTAAAGTCTTGGCGTTTTGTAAAAAATGTACAAAATGGTCTAACAGATTTTAATCTTTTTTTTTAAATATTTTTTACAAAATTTTTAAACTTCTAAAGTAGCCAGAAACATACTTAAAAAGATTAAAAACAAGAAAAAAATTACAAAAAAGATAACAATCACAGCAAAAATAAATACAAAAAAATTTTTTACAATTTTCGGGCAAAATGTAAAAATAAATAGGGGAAAATAGTAAATTTATATATTTTTATTTGGCTAGGTCAGATGTCCAAACTATACCTTTTCCTCTCTTTCCTTCTCTCCCCCTCTTCCTCTACATGCTATCGTCAAAAATAACCATTTATATAACTACCGGTATCTCTCCCACCCCTCCCGTGTCCGGACAAAATATCGAATCGTTAAAATATGGAATAGGCTAAAAAAGGGTTAAAATCTCGAATCGGGTAAAAAGGGGTTAAAATCGCGAATAGGCTAAAAAGGGGTTAAAATGTGGAATCGTTAAAATATGGAATGGTTAAAATATCGAATAGGCTAAAAAAAGGTTAAAATATGGAATCGTCAAAATATCGAATTGATAAAATGTCGACACGGCAAAAAACGATCAAAATGTCGAATTTTTTAAAAATGGCGCCAAAACTAGAATCCGGGCGTTACCGTAATACCGACGGTATTTTTCGATATTCCGTGTCGATTGTACGGTACGGTATCCGACCGATAAAATTTAAAAGCTGATCGGTATTTTTCGGTATTTCGTGCCGTATACGGTAAGATCAAACTTTAGGTCTTAACTAAAAACTAATGTACACCACTCTAATTTTTCCATATCAGGATCGCGTTATGTTTTCCGGATCCGTACGATCATGCCGGACCGGATCCGGTCGATTATGCTTGATTTATCCGGTCCGGTTTTACTCGGTAAAATACAATAAACTCTGGCAGAAAAGATTGCGCCGGACTACGACATAAGAGACTTATCAATCAACTTATCATCAATAAGTTGATAAGTTGATATAATCATCTACAATCAACGTATGGCACTCATCTGACCCTTTTTTAAAAGAATTCGACATTTTGACCGATTTTGGCCGTGTCGACATTTTTACCATTCCATATTTTAACGATTCCATATTTTAACCCTTTTTTACCCGATTCGATATTTTAACGTTTCCATATTTTAACGATTCGGTATTTTAACCCCTTTTTAGCCTATTCGCGATTTTAACCATTCCATATTTTAACGATTCCATATTTTGTACCGGAGCCACCCCTCCCCCATTCTCCCCCCCCCCCCCATCCCCCTCTCCCTTCCCCCTCTACCCTCCCTATTCCCCCCCCCCCTTTCTCCCTACTTACCTCAACGTTTTTAACGACTAGTGTGTGTGTGTGTTTTTAACTATTACATTCCTTTCTCTCATTTTATTTTTTAATCTCTCTCACTCATCAATGGAGGTTAGACAGTTTTTTATTTTTAATTTCTCGTCCCTCTTCACTAATTTTCAAAAGTCTCAAAATGCCAAATTTACAAAATGTCTAACAGGAAAATCTGAAAATAGCCCCCAAAATATGAGAGCATATTTGATGTTAAGACCAGAGCTTTCGTTTTGTCGTTTGGACATTTCACAATTTTGCTTAAAAGATGAGAGGGGCTATAAAACCGTTTTTATGTTATCGCTCTGTATATTTATGATGGGGCGAAAAGCGAATGGGGGAAAGACTTTTTGAGGTAAATCAATGCAAAAAGGGCAAAACTCATAAAAGTATCAGGAATTCCTACAAGAAAATTTAAAAAAAAATTCTAGAATTTTCAAAATTTGACCGAAATGAGACCCAAACGAAAAAAATTTTTTTAATAAAAAATTTTATTTTTCTTATGCAAAAAATAGACAATTTTTTGTGTTTTTAAAACGCACATTTTTTAAAATTATTTTAATTATTTTCTGTAGCAATAAATTGACAACCAACAAGTCCAATACCATCCCAAACTTGTGGAGTTAATATTAAACGAAAAACCTTCACACCACGCAATAAAGTTATTCGGATTGGTTTCTTTAAAAATTTTTTAAAAAATAAATTGATGGAAGAAAAGATTGAAAAAACATTCTTTTCCGAGGAGTGGAAAGCCATAGAATACAGAAAATTTTTTAATTGCCTCTGTGGTGTAGTGGGAAAATTTCTAATTCAACAACCAAAGGGTCGAAGGTTCGAGTCCCATAGGCGGCAAAATATTTTTGGAAGGCCAGAAAATTAGAATTTCGTCTCGAAAATATTTTTAATTTCTAGGGAGGAAAAATCGTCTCTGTGGTGTAGTGGGAAAATATCTAATTCAATATCCAAGGGGTCGGAGGTTCGAGTCCCTTTGACGGAAAATAATTTTTATTTTGTAAGTATTGTGTCTAAATAAATTTCTCAGTCCCCGTTCCCTCTTTTAAATTTAAATTCCTCACATTTTTCGAATTATTCACAACTTCCTTCAATTGATCCAATTTATTGAACACATCCGCATGCAAATTACCAAATTGGATAATTAAATCCCCTTCACGCAAACCCTTAAAAAATTTTTTAAATAAGATTGAGAAAAAATTTTGGGTTCCTCTCTTTAAGCTCACAAAAGTCCGCAAATTTTATACGCAAAAAAAGAGAAGAAAATGTGGACTTTCAAGAGCTTGGTAATTCCACGTTTTATCCCTTCCCTCTCTCCTATCCCATTTCTGACATCATTTCCCATATGTTTGCCTTAAAAACCAAATCAATATAAAAGGAACAAAAATAGCTAAAATAACTAACTAATCCTTCATTAACAATTAAGGAAGTTTGAAAAAAAATTTAAATTGAAGGAAAAAGTAAGCCTTATTGGAGAAGAAAAAGGAAAGGGACAACGATTTCGAATTTCAGGGACGAGCAAAATTTTTTTTGTTCAACCACCCTTCCCAATTTTAAATTAACCGCTTTTTGTGCTGGCGAATTTGGCGACACTTTATCCACTTGCACAATAGGTTTATTACTTGTACGATGCACACTTGACTCTCCTTCATTATTTTCCGAATTTCCATTCTGTGAAGTATGGTTGTGTATAGCAACAATAATTCTGTCAATTTCTGCCATTTTTTCGGTTCGATCATTTTGTAAACCTTTAAAATTTGGAAAATAAAAATTCAAAAAAATTCAAAAAAAACGTCTAATATTTCCTCTAGCAGAAGTGACCGCATAAATGTCGATTCCAGAAAGTGGAAAATCTTGGTCATCAACTAAAGGCTCATTCATTCCAATATTATTCTAGGAAAATATTTTTAAAAATAAATTAAAGAAAACCTCTTTAAGAATTAATTCATTGTCAAAAATTTGTTCGTCAATTGAATCCAATTCCTTCATTAATTTTTTAGCCTGATTCTTCTTCTCGTCCGTCATATTTTTAATTTAAAATTTTTTAATAAAGTCAACTAGAAAACAGAATTCTAAATTGAAATTTTGGGAAATTTTAAATAAAATGAAAACCTTTTACTCACATTTGCTAATCATTAAAGCGCTGAGAAGATACAATGAAATTAAAATAAGAAAATAAATATAGGTTAAATCAATTAAACCGAATCTCCGAATAATATAAATTAACAAACATTTATTCAACAAAACATTTAACACCAACAAAACATTTAACACCATTAAACCGTTTTTATTTCTTTATTCAATTTGTTCGTCATACATTCGCTCATTAAAATCTTTATAAGACTTCTCTGCCACTTCAACATATCCTTTGAATGCACTCAACAAAAGATCCAAAAAATTCTTATATTCTAAAAAAATCTTATTAGATTAAATAACAATCAAACTAAAATTGAACCTTTCAGAAATGGAGTATAAAATAAATTATCAAGCGTAGCATGCTTGTCGTCCAAAAACTTAACCATATTCTTGATCATCTGATGTCTCTCCTTGCCTGCTTTCTTCCACTAAAATTTTAAAATTAAAAGAATATTTTATTTAATAATTCTAATCAAAAAAATAAAAACATTGTCACGATCCGTAAAATGATTAACAATTGGTTGGGCAGGCCAATCTTCATTTTTGAACTCCTAAATTATATAAATTAAATTCCTATAAAAAATTTTCAATGACCTCATCAATCTTAGCAAAACACGCATGTTTACTCGAAAAAGTTTTAATTTGATAAAAAATCCCTTAAATATTATAAAAGATATGATTATTTAATCATAAATAACATCAATTTTTCCAAAATTTAAATTAAATTTCACAATAAATTGATGTTATTCTAACTCATAAATACCCCCAAATTGGCAAGATATTTGCATGCATTCTTCAGCACGTGATCCATCTTTAACAAAGAAAGCCAACTTTTTTAAGCACAAATTAATATTGCCAGTTGTGACCTCGATCTCATTCTTTAACTAAAAATTTAATTTTTTAATTATTTTAATAGAATTAAAATTAAGCTGCAAAAACTCACTATTTTTCGACTAATTTTTAAATTAATTATATATTTTTTTCGAAGTTTAACAACAATAATGTCAACTAATTTCGAAATTCGAATATTTTCCCACTTGTAACGGAAAGGGACAAATGTTATTATTTCAAAGATTAATTCAGTTGGGAAATCTAATTTTTTAGTTTTCACTGCTGAATGACTCATTTTCATGGTTTAGATCCTGATCTGGCTAAACTGCAGTAAACCAACGTTTTTTAGATTTGAACAATTTATGTGTCATTTGAAAGAGCTCGCCGAGCTGAGTCGAATGACACCAAAATTAGTACTACAAAATAGATGTATCTCGTTTTTTAGCGTTTTTTACTCTCCGCGCGTATTCAGCCCTAATTAAAAATATGCCCTAAATTAGTGATTTATTGAGAACGACATTTGATCCCAAGAGAACATTAGTGTGATTCCAAATTTTGCCAACTATGTAATAATACCACATTTTGCCAAACTACAGTTTGCCAATATGGCTGGAATTCAATTTGCCAGTAATGCCAAAACCCCGTATTTTTTTCCCTTTTCAATCAAAAAATTTTTTTAAATAATTTTTAGATTTCAAAAAATGAATTTTGCAATAAATACAAACAAATTTAATTTATGCCATTTGCCCGTTACAAATTCACATTTCACAACAACATTGTATTTTTCTACTGCTTCTAAAACTCGAAAGGATTATTATAAAATTCTCGGAGTGTCAAGAGGTTCTACACCTGAACAGATTAAAGAAGCTTTTTATAAACTTTCAAAGGTTTTTTAATATTTTTTACCAAAATAGTTTAGGGAGGTTTTCATTATTTTGTGAAGTAGAAATTTTGTGCGATAAGATAAATCATAAAAATAATTAGAGATCGAGATTTTTGAAAAGCTTGGACTTGTTCCTGGGTTCTGGGTTTGATTTATTAATTTGGGCCGGATCCTGGACCTGTAGTCTAGGAAAAGCCCAGGCCCAGGAAAAAACCCGGGAAGGTAAAAAAAATGCCTAGGCCTGGACTCTGGGTACAGGAAAACCTAGGCCTTGGTCCAGACCCAGGCCGATCTCTAAAAATAATTACAAAATATGCTTATATATTTAGATTTTTAGAAATACCATCCAGATGTGAATCAAGACAAGGAGAAAGCTTCCAAAAATTTTCACAAAGTAATTTTGAATTTTAAGGGAATAGTGTTTGTTCTCTCTCTCCTTAATTTTAAATTTTCTATAGGTTTCTGAAGCTTATGAAGTTCTTGGATCAAAAGAGAAAAGGCTAGCTTATGATTCATTAAATGCGGAAACACCGTCAACAAGAATATACAAAACTACTTATTCTCAAAAAACAAAAACAGAAAAATGGGAAAAAGATTGGAGTGAATTTCAAAATATGAACAGGTTTATTTTGAATTTAGTTTGGGAAACCCCTCTCTCAAAAAACTTGATAAGACAAGCAAATATTTGAAAATTTGGTGGTGCTTTCCCGTTTGTGTTAAAGTTGTCGTTTCGAAACGGACCAAAAAATGTTTAGAAATAACAGGAACAGGGGGAGTCGAATCAAAGAATAGCCTCGGTTTCTCGTTTCAGTTACTTCTGTTCATTTTCGAATATCCAAAAGATTTTTTCAAGAACCAACAACCCTCTATTATAGTACTGACAACATTACTACTAGGCCCGTAACTAGGATTCTTTAAGGGGAATCCTCTCCCACTCCTAGTTGCTGGCCTGATTACTACCTAGCAGCAGGCTCGTACCCCCTGGATACGGGCCTGCCTAGCAGAAATCAGTTTGAATTCCGATTTCCAACAGTTCTTCAGCACCTTCGTCATTTCCTACCGACTCTGTTAATCTAATTAATTTTCTATTTTAAGTAAAAGAAACCATTTTGACCGGCAACAAAGACAACAAAATTCTCAACAACAACAAATGGGATCAGAAAGGAGAAGATTATTTTCGTTTTTATCAACAAAACAAAGCAATCCATTTTTTGATAAAATATATAAAGAAGATGCTTGGAAAAATGTTAAAAGGATTGGGGCAGGTTTTGTTGCTACAATTTTAGTTTATTATATTTTTGTAAATTATTATTATCTTAAAAAGTGGAGATAATTTATAGATAGGAATAAAAATATATATTTAAAAATTAAATTTTTAAAATTTCTGGTTGTTTCTATTAGGGTAGCACCCGTTCCCCATAACTCCGAATTTTTAGGTCCGACCTGAACGTCGAAGGCTCTACTCAGGCCCGTAACTAGGATTTTTTTTCGGGGGGGGGGGGGGGGAAATTTTATTGCGCCAAATTTTTGGCGCCGAAGGCGCCAAAAATTTTTATTTTCAGCGCCGCAGGCGAAAATTTTGAGAATTTTAGAAGGCCGTAGGCCAAAAAAATTCACTTTTTCGGCGCCGCAGGCGCCAAAAATTTAATTTTCAGCGCCGCAGGCGAAAATTTTTTGAATTTTGGACCTCAAGAAGCCAGATTTCGTCCTTTTTTAGCGCCGCAGGCGAAAATTTTTTAAATTTCAGAGGCCGTAGGCCAAAAAATTCACTTATTTTGCCCCAGCCCTTCCCCAAATTTTTTCCTTTTTCCCATTTCGGGGGGGGGGGAATTCCCCCCCTCACCCCCCCCTGGTTACGGGCCTGGCTCTACTCCGGCAAACCCCGAAACCTGACACTCCCGCCCCGAAGGCTAGGGGTGCTACCCTAGTTTCTATAATTAAATAGAGAGCCGTCCTAAGAATGAAAAATATTTGCGTTCCAAGAGGCACTGAGAGCGAGTAGGGTTAACCGAAATCTGTCGACCGTTTGATCGAGCACTAGACTGACCGAACAAACAAACGGATAGAGAAAGCCAATTAATTCATAATAGAGACCGAACTGGTAGTATCGTACGAGAATCGAGATCTCGATAACCATAATTTTTGATCGAAATCTCGTCTCGGTCTCTAATTCATAACTGATTCCTTAACCCCCTTCCTCCCTACTTTCCTTACGAATTTATAATCAGCCGGTGGGAGTTATTTATTGTTAATTTTCCATGAATTTTATTTTAATGTCTAACGCTATAGAAATCCTCCCCTAATTTTCTTTGAAAAAATACAAAATACCTTATATTTTATTTATTCTCTTCACTAAAATTATCAAGACAATTTAATTTATTATTTATTGTAAACATAAAATTTGTCATAACCTCTTTAGGATCAGCTACTATATTCCCAAAATGTTCATTTATTCCATCGAGAAGCTTAAATAAAAATTTTTAAAAAATTTAAAAGGATTTTTTAAAAGCCAAAACCTGCTGTTTAGAAATTGCCCCCGACCTATTCGGCAATTTAAAGAATTTTTTATATCTTCGCAAAGCTGTTGTTGAAAGGGAATCGAATCTGTTTCGCTATAAATTTAAAAAAATGTTTTAAAATTATAAATAAAAACCGTTGATTCATTCATTTGTGCACAATTTATTGGCTGAAAAGTTTTTTTTATTTTTTAAAAATAATTTTTCAAAAAATTTTTAAATTTTTTGAATTTTACTTATGTTAAGGGTCCAAGTAGCTAAAATTGGATTGAATTCCAGATTTTTTTTGAGAAAATCAAAAAACCCATGTCATCGTTAAATAAAAAATGATCCTTTTAATTTTGCGGACCAGAAAATCCGCAAGTTTCGTCCGCAAATTATTATATACTTCCATAGAGTTTTTTTGAGAAATACAGACTTGCGGACAAAATTTGCGGACTTTTTGGCCCCATAATTTAAAAAACTGAGAAGTTTTTTTGCCCAACCCATTTCCATCGATTTAATAAAAAAAAACCTTGCGATACTTCTCCAATAAATTTTTTGTAATTAATTGACTTTTTAAATATTCCTCAGACTGATTAAAATTAATTTGTTTTTTGTTGGAAATTTGTAGGACAAAATTTGTAAATTCTTCAATAAAATCTTCCTCTTCTTTTTGACTATTTATTTGATTATTTAAATTATTAAATTCTGATGGATTTTGAATTAATAAATAATGGGGACGGCAAATGAAGAGTGTTGAAATGTCTGACTAAAGATTAGGGGTTTATTAAGGGGAATTTAAAAAATCAGAATTTTTAAGAAATCAGAAAACAGAATTTGTAAAAATCAGAACTTCAAAAAACAGAACTTATAGAAATCAGAATTTTCAAAGATCAGAATTCTGAAAAACTAAATTTTTAAAGATAAAAATTTCTAAAATCAGAATTTCAAAAAAAACCAGAATTTTGACAAATCCAGAAATTATTAAAATCAGAATTTTAAGAAATCAGAACTTTGAAACCAGAATTTTCAAAAAAAAATCAGAATTTCTAAAAATCAGAAATTACAAAATCAGAATCTTTAAAAATTCTGATTTTTTAAAAATCATAATTTTAAAACCAAAATTCTGAAAAAATCAGAATTTACTCTTTACCTCTTCCACAAAGAAGGGAATATTTTTATCAAATTGTATTCCTCCATTTATCGGCGTAAACGCAAAATTTTCACATTGAGTAAATGTCCCATCTTGTTGTTTCGTATATATTGCACATCGAGTACTTAAATCTTGCAACATTTAACTGGTAAATTAATTTTTAAAATTTTAAAAAAATTTGAAAAAATAAAAAACGAAAATAAAAATCGTCTAAAAAATTTAAAAAAAAAATTAATTTTTAATTTTTACAAAATAAAATTTAAAATACAAAAAACTTTTTTGGAGTTTTCCTGAATATTCTAGGGAAGAAAATCAGAAATTTCAGAAATTCTGATTTTTGCAGACACAATTTTGCAAGCAACAACAAGCATAGATTAGAATATTCTCCCTTATTAAATTAATTGCCAGCCTAAATTTTGCGGACAAAAAATTTTCTTTGTGGATATCCGCAAAATTTGTCCGCAAAAAATTAAAAAATAAATAAATTTCTATTCAGCAATTTTGTCATAATCCGCCAATCTTTTCATTGCTTCACTTCTAGAAATTGTCAATTTTTCGGTTTCTAATGGTCTTTGAGGAGGCAAAGATGTTTTTCTATCACTATTACGCCAAGAAAACCAACCAACATCCTTTAAAAAATTTTTTTAATTTTTAAATAAAATTAGATTTTGCGGACACAATTTTGCGGACAATAACAAAAATAAAGCAGAACATTCCAACCTTTAAATAAAGTATCCGCAAAAATTTGCGGACAATCCGCAAATTATTTGCGGACAAAAAATTTTTTTGCGGACATCCGCAAAATTGTCCGCAAAAAAATTAAAAATAAAAAAAACCTTCTCATTTTTCTTTAAATTATCAATTTCTTTTTGTAAAATTTCAAATCTTTCTTCAATTTTCTCAACAATTTCATTCAAGTCATCATGTGAAACAGAATGTTTTTCGTTTGCTTTAGAAATGTAATAATACAGAGAAAATATTGCAATTCCATAAATATAAAGAACTGCTTCTTGCAAAATATCTGAGGCCTGAAAAATATTTTTTTTGGGGAAAAAATTGCGGACTTTCCCATTACTTAATTAACATCCCCCCCCCCTATTTTGTCAATAAAAAAAGGAAAATTAATTTGAAACACAAATAGGGGTGGGCGGGATACTAATAAAATACCCTTTTCCCCTCAATTTTCTTTTGAAAGCTCTTAATCCCCCAAATCTCTTGTTGTCCTTCCTAATCCCACAAACTAGCCAGACCCTATATCCGGACCAGACCTGGGCGAAACTCGAAAATTTTTTCAGACGAAACGAAACGAAACAAAATTTTTTAAAAATCGTTTCGTTAACGAAACGAGACGAAACAGTAAAAATTTAGCGAAACGAAACGAAACAAAACGAAACATTTTAATTTTCAAAAAATTTAATAAAAATGGTTTTATTTTCTTAATTATTCGATTTTAGACACGTTATTAGGCCAGTTATGGCCTATAATTGATCTAATAGCTTAGTGGGACCTTAAATTGTGGTCCCAGGCTCGAATTATGTGTTGAGTATATGTGTATATGTATATCAGGGACCTGCCGACCCGTTTCCTGATTCCCTAAAATAGGGAATTAACTTTGTCGGAAATTACTATCGCCTAAACCCGTTCCTGATTCCCGGCATTTTTTTAAATTTTTTAAACCCTCCAAATCCACCGATATCCGTTTACTCTCTCCAAATTTCCTATACCACCATTGCTCCCGCCAAATCCAATGATATTTCTCAACTCAGATTTTTTTACTGATAACAACGTTCATGATTAGGGTTGCCAAAATGGTCCGACTCGGACCAAAATATCGAGTCGAGCCTAAGATATTTGGCCCGAAAAGTCTCGTACTGGCCCGACTCGATAGAAACAGGCCCGAAAAAAGGCAACCATATTCATGATCATTGCCATCAGTTGCGTTTTCGTTTATTGAAACTAAACTTTATTGAAACTCTTGCGCCTGCCCTGATTGGCATTAAGAGGTACATCGATTCTATATGCCTAATCTAGCATAGAATTCGAGCTTTGCATATTAAAAAAATAAAATCAAACGAGAAATTCAAAAAAAATATAGTAAATTATGCGCCGTAGGCGCTTAAAATCCAGATTTCAGCGCCGCAGGCAAAAATTTTTTGAATTTTGATCACCAAAGGGGAAAATTTTACAGTTTTTGGGTAATATTTTGGTCTAAAAAATGGGTAATGTTTCGTTAACGAAACAGAGGTGTTTCGTTAACGAAACGAAACGAAACAAACTAAAAAGTGTTTCGTCACGAAACGAGACGAAACAGGAAAAAACATAACGAAACTAACGAAACAACGAAACGAAACGAAACGTTTCGCCCACGTCTGATCCGGACCCTTTTCAAACCCGAATCCGATCAAACCCGGCCCAGACTTTTTCTCTGGTTCTAAATACTTAATGGGTCGAATAATCGAATATAATAATGAGAGTTCTAATTCGGGGCGAGTTTTTGTTTTGTCGAGATGGGGAAAATGTAAGCAAAAAGTCTAAACTTAACACTAAAAAATTAAAAAAAAGAAGTAAACCTGCTCTAACGCTGCTTCATCAGATAATTGCACTAAAGTCTGAGGTTTTCCAAGTCCTAAATCCCGCATTCGAAGGCGTGTTGTAATGTTCGTTATACCTAAAATATTGAGAATTTTTTCTAAAATCAAGAAAAAATTTTTAAAAAATTAAAATATTTTTCCCTCCCAAAATTTCCCTCTCAAAAAAAATTTTCAAAAAAACCTCTCCCAGCCGGAATAAGTATTTTATTGCGGAAAAATGGATGTTTTCTTCCATAAGTCATAATTCTGTTACTAACTAAAAATTTAAATTTATTTAAAAATTAATTTTAAAAAACCTGGTTTAGCCATTTGACGTGCAAAAATTAAAAAAAGTTGGATTGCAGGTATTCCCATTTACATATGTTAAATTACACAATTAATTAGACCTTAATAGATAAATGGAAAATAAAAAAACATGTAAGATAAAAAAAAGATAACTTTTTAGGAGGAGACTCAAAAGTCAAAATTATAATATAAAATTATTTCACTTCGGTAAATAGTATGAAAATGCTCACTTTGGTCAGAAATGAAAAAAATTCCCATTTTGGTCAGAAACTATCTCATTTCGGTCAATAACCAAAAATAGTTTTCCCATTTTGGTCAGAAACTATCTCATTTCGATCACTGACCAAAAATTTGTTTCATTTCGGTCAGTCGTTAAAATAATCTTACTTTGCCACAATTAATTATTTAATTTTTTTAATTTAATTTTTACTCCAAATGTTCCTTCAATTCCCCTTTACTTACTCTTCACTCACAATCAGTCAGGCCACAAAAGATTTTTATACGTTCGTCTGCTCTCGCTATGTTCTCGATATTTATATTGATTTATTTGTTAAAAATTGGAGGAAAATTTATTTAAAAATTAAACTTTAAAAATTTAAAAATTTGTTCTTTAATTTCCAAAAATTCTTCGTTATTGGTTAAAAGAAATTTTCAATTAAAAAATATTTTTTTTGAACATATATCCTCCCTTCCCTCTTTTAATATTCCTCCTCCCGATTTAAAATTGCGCAGCCATTTAATTTTTATTTTTAAATTTATATGTACATACCTGACTCATCTTTATTTACCTTATTTTTTCGTTTAAAAATTTTGACAATTTTTAAAAACACTAGAAAAATTATTTTAAACCAAAAATATAATTATTTTTTAGAGAAAAAATAATTTTTCCTCGTAATAGTATTTAATTAAAAATTATTTTCAACGCCAGGCATCGAACCCGGACCCCCTAAACACCAAAGCCAGAAACGTTAACCACTACACTACCGCAACAGTATAACATCAAACTTTAAATTTTTGTCTTCCGGAAAAGATTATTTTAACAATTAAAAACAATTAAATGAACGAAGATTTGAACAACAACAATAATATTAAAATTAATAATATTCCCATACCCCCACCCCTACAACTACCCCCAACATCTCCACCAAGTTATTATTTGCCCAGTTCCCCAGCAGAAGTATTTGTTGCTTATTCTTTAGGGGAAAATAAAGCAAATTTAAAAATTATTGAAAAAAAAAACCAACAAAATATTATAAATGAATTGAAGGTGAATAAAAAATAGTTTTTTAATTCTAATAGAAAGGACAGGGGGATTATGATTTTTATAAAAATACAATTTGGGGGATTTACAGTAACCAGCGAAAATTTTAAATTTCTTTCTCTTAAAGCAAATCAACGAAAAAGAAGAAAATGAGCAAGACGACGAAGTTATCGTTGTTGAAAGCCCACAGGAGGAACAAAAATATGCCTTGCTAAAAAGTCGAACAAGGCTGTATAGAACACTTGTTTGGCTACAATTTTCAATGACTGTGTTCACTTGTATTTTTATTATGGCAATAATGGTGCTAGTTGCTTTAATTTTGATTGTGCTTCAAAGAACTATAGATAGGGCTGATACTGGTAGAAAATAAAATAATTTTAAATTTAAAAATTATTTTAGCAATACGAGATAATCCAGTTAGTCAATTATACACAAAAATAAGAAGTGCTGTTGACAAAATACATATGTGAGTGAACATTTCCGGAAAGAGTTTAATTCCGGAAAAATAATATAAATATTATACTTAAATATTATGCACTATTTTTTCCGGAAAATATAATTCCAGAAACATATTAGGTGATTTATAAGTGGGTAACTTACACTATATTTTCCGGAATAAGTTTAATTCCGGAAAAAAAGAGTATATAATTTGTATTTTTCCGGAGAGTTTATTTCCGGAAAAATAAATACATGTTCTACTCAAGTTTTCTACTTACACTATCTTTTCCGGAAAAAGTTTAATTCCGGAAAAATAAATACTTTTATGTATAAGAGACTAACTTATACATATTTTATTTTCCGGAATAAGTTTAATTCCGGAAAAAAAGAGTATATAATTTGTATTTTCCGGAAAGAGTTTATTTCCGGAAAAATAAATATTAATTTACATAAGGGTAACTTATACCTTATTTTCCGGAAAGAGTTTAATTCCGGAAAAAGTATATAATTTATATTTTCCGGAAAGAGTTTACTTCCGGAAACATTAAAAATAAATAACATATTAATTACTTATATTTGCCTTTTATTAATTTATAGTCCTAAAATTTAAAAAAATATTTATCTACCGGTGATTGCCTATACTTATTTTTCAATATTTTTATTCTCGAAATAAAATTTTATTATTTATTATTTTTTAAATACATTTTTAAATTTATGCGGATCTATTTTTTATTCATTTTCACCAAAAATAAAAATTTTTTTCAAGTAAACGGCCCTCCAAATGTTCGATAGGGATAAGAGAGAGACGAGATAAAACGGTTCTGTCCTCTATAATACGGAAAGTAATTGTTGTATGGATTATATCCATTTATTGGTTGTGTATTTCTGCCGTAGAAAGGATTTAGACCTGAAAATGAACTTTTGTATTCTTCGGGAAAGCTTCTATTTTCCTAATCGTTATGTATTTATTATTTATAGAATGGTAACTTGTATTTTATTTCCGGAAAGTTGTTATTCCGGAAATATTAAAATAAATGGTATTTTTATTACAAGAAGGAAAATATTCTTTTCCGGAAAAAGTTTAATTCCGGAAATTATATTTGATTATTTATAGGAGGGTAATTTGTATTCTTCCGGAAATTATACCATTTCCGGAATGAGTATAATTTGTATTTTATTTTCCGGAAAGTTTAAATTAATTAACCTTGTATCCCTCCATTACCATAAAATCTACCACCATATTGTCCATACGGATTCATCATAGAAGGAGATATTCGATTCCAATATTGAGGATAACCTTGATTCATTCCATAAGGGTTATTATAGGCTGACCAAGGAGATGAATTACACAATTTAATTGTTAAAATGAGAATAAAAAATTTTAAAATAAATTTAATTTTTAACATTAAAAAGAATTTTGATTTTATTTAAAAAATATTTTTGATTCAGGAAAAAAATATTGTGAACAAAAATGATTATAATACAAAAGGAGAACGAAATAATTTGTTTTTAAGGGCAAAAAGTGTCAATCCGGTAAATAAGAGAGGCGCGGTCACCCATTTTTTTTCTCTTCACTTTTTTCACATCTATTAAAATCCATCAACCCAAAAACGTACAATTTTCTACACAAACAAAATCATCTCACCTGAACACAAATGCACGAAAAAAAATTTATTTTACGCGGCATCAGATTAAAAATAAAAATATACAAACATAAAAACAACATTATTTTTTTGTTACTATTTTATTGCTTTTTAATTCCTCCTGAAACTTGGAAAGGGAAAGAAAAAATATTTATTTTATTATTTTCCTACCAAAAATTTTTTTTTAATTATTACGTATAAGGACACATCAAAACAGTCAAAAAACAGACGCCAGGGATCGAACCTGAGACCCTCCAAAGATTAAAGCCTGAAGCGTTAACCACTACACCACTGCAGTAATAACATAAGAAACTTTTTTACCAATAATTAGTCTTCCGGAAAAGTTTATTTAAAAAATAAAATTAAAAACATCTATGAAACAATTAAAAAATAATTATAAAAATAAGTATTATTGAAACAATTAAATAAAAATAAAATATTAATTGACGTAAAAACATCAATTCTTTTTCTAAAATTGATTTTTCTTCCTCTTTATTTTCTACCTTTTTTTCTTCCAAAATATTTTTTCTTCTTCCATCATCTTCTTCCAATTTTTCTTCCTTATTTATTAAAATTTGTTGATCATCCTCCTCTTCTTTTTCTTCAGAATTTTCAATTTTTTTCTCTCCTTCAAAATTTAAATTAATAGAAAAAGGGGCATCAATACGCTTTTCATTTTTAGCTTCTTTACTTTTGAATACACCACTTCCAAAGGATAATAAACTCTTTTTTGAACTTGAAGTTCTTTTTAATGTTGTTGATTTTGTGGTTGAAGGAGGAGGAGGATTTTCTATTGTTTTTTGTTGTTGAGGAATTTCTTTAAATTTTTTTTGATTAATTTAAAATATCTTTTTTTTAACGAATCTTGTTCTTAGAAAATTCTCTCACTCACAAGAGACCATTGTTTGTGACTGGGAATTAATTTTTTAATACCCTATGATAAAGGACTCCAGACTTCTTTTTGCTCCGTGTGGTGAGTTACATTAAACAATGGTCCCTTGTCCGAATAAGACCAGTTAATTAACAAAAGTTAATAATTGACCTTTATGCCTAGACTTATTTAATTTTTCCTATTAATAATAAAAAAACCTTCAAGTTCAACAGCTTCAAATTGTGCAGAAGTTGAAGGTTGTTGCTGTAATTTTAATTGAGTGTTATCAGAAGAATCAGTTTCGATAATTATAGGATCCATTTCAATAATAAATTGTTGGGGGGATTGATTTAAATCGGAAGTATCTTCTAAAGGAATTAAAGGATTCGGAAGTTCGTCTTGATTATTTGAACTAAAATTTAAAAAATAAATTTTTAAAAAAATTAAAAAAAACCCCAGTGTTTGTGGATCAAATGAAAGAACAACCAATTCTTTAGCTTGGAAACGGTTCAAAATTGAAGACAAATTTTTTAACTAAATTAAGAAAAATTTTTTTGAAGATACTTGTCATGTTTAAAATTATTAATGCCCATTTTTCTCGAGCATAAAAGGAATAGAGGCACAGAGCAAAGGATTATAGTTTTGAGGTTTTTCACCAAAACTTTGTCTGGTACTTCCCCCGTCTTAATTTGCGTCCCGAAAATGTGCTTTGCTCATTATTGGGATCCAAGGGCGTAACCAAGCGGGTCGATTTCGGAGGGGAAGGAAAAATGGATTATTGGGGTCCAAGGGCGTATCCAGAAAGTCGATTTCAGGGGGAAGGAGGGAGACTCTAGACCCCCTGGATACATCCTTGTTGGGGCCCAATAAAAAAACTCAGGTTTAATATTTAAAAAAATTTTTTTATGGAGAGAACTAAGAGAAAAACTAAGAAAAAAACCTGTTCAGGTAAACATTTTGTATCGGGTAACAATATCGTAATCAAAAAATGAAAAATGCAATGTAAACATAGAGCAAATAAAGTTAACATCAAATTCCAACAATAAACAGTTCCAATTGTGGGCATAATACCATCACCGGGAGGTATTTGTTGTAATAAATTGAGACATAAAAATTAAAATAATTAATAAAAAATAAATAAATATACCACAAACTGATTCCAAAAATAAATTAAAAATACAAAGAAAAATAGCCATAGGTAAACTATCCAACCAAAAAACAAAAAGTGTGAAAAGTATTGTTATAATCTAAAAATTATTTTTGTGATAATTATTCTCGAATATATGGGTATATAAAATTTATGTTAGAAGATTTCCAAGGAATTAGATAATATACACAAGTGTCACCCCGATTTAGTGTTAAATAAAAACAAGGGGGACATCATTTACTGTCACCCCGATTTCGGGCATTTCTGAGAACCACAGGCTTCCTATTACAAGTGAGATCCGTTTTCTAGTAAAATGATTCTGGGCCTAGTTATGACCATTCAAACGCTAGCCTGAATTATAGTGGTAAATCAGTACTTTCTTTCTTTTTTCTTCTCAAAAAAGAAAAATTTTGGTTACATATAGTGGGTCTGCATTTAAATTAAAAAATAAAAATTACAATTGGAAGAACTAAAGTAAGTCCATAATATGGAGCATGCCTTTTAATTCGAATTCCAAATTCCATTAAAGACCAATAATTATCCAACTAAAAAAAATTTTTTTAAATGAAATTTTAAAATAAAAATAATAATACAGGTCCAATAGGTGACGAATCAACACAATAACCAGTAGGTCCTAAATTTAAAAAAAAAATTATAGAAATTTAAAAAATCTTAAAATACCCCAATAACAAAGTCTTTGCCATGTGTCAATTATTTCCCAACCTTTATTTTAAAAATTTTTTTTTGAAAAAACTTTCTATCAAAAAATACCAGCAACATGTTTTTTAACATTTTCAGATAACGGATCAAAGCTTAGACGAATTGCTGGTTTTGCTAAACTGTTTAGACCAGAACGGGCACTGACAGCTTCAGATAAGTTTACTTTAGAAGCATCATACCTCAAAAATTTTAAAATTAAAAAATTTTTGTTAATTAAAATTAACTGCCAATCAGCCAGAACAATTGGACATTCTTGAATATCATATGGATAAGCAGCAAAATTGAATTGGCAAGTAACTTGGAAAGAAAAGGCTCCTGCTGCAAATACACGCCCATCATTTGAAACAGTTGCAGGGACCTGTTAAATTTTTTAGATAATAAAAAATATTTTAGAAAAGAAAAAAGGCGCACAGTCCATAAAACAGGTCCTAATTTCGCCTTTGTTTTCATTGTGAACTGATGATGGAACATTCTTCACTGTCAACAAGAACGAATTTTTTGGGCAACATTCGATAGCGGCCCTTTACCTTTCTATTGCGAAGTGAGTTTTTTCTTTTAAAAACCAGTGGGCCGTGTTTATGGCTAATTTTTGGGGACGTTTTATTGAGGAAAGAAATATTTAATTTCTCTCTTTTGTCCAAAAAATAAATTTAAAAAAATTTATACCCCTCTCATGTAGACAAACCAGCTATTACTTCTTGCAGAATTGTATAGAGCAAATGTTGGCTGCCAAATTTTCCAAGCTTCCATAGAAATAACAAAAGTATTATTGTGTTCTGAAGGCGTCCATTTTAAATAATCATCATTCCACGCGGCCCTAAAAGAGAAAAAAAATTAAATTTAAAATTATTTTACAGGTCACCATAAAATTCCATGTAAAAGCATCGTTCCTTCATGCTCATCCACTTTTTCAATATGATTTACAGTTAGGAAAAGTTGAACGCGTATAATGGTAGATTCAACTTTTACAGGCCTAAATTTGAAATTAAAAATTTCTAAAAATTTTTTTTGAAATTTTCAAAATTTTTTCTGAAATTTTTGAAATTCCAAAAAATTTTGAAAATTCAAAAAAATTTTTCTAAAATTTTCAAATAAAATACCTATGTCTTTTATCATAATTACGAAGTACTTCTTGTTCAATTCGCCTATTTTCACTTATCCAGGCTTTGGTAGCAAGGGGAATTAAAATAAAAAGAAAAATAAATAAGGGAGAATTTGAGCAAAGCATTGAGAGGATTTTAGTCTATAAATTAGCAAAATGAATTAGAAAAATTTATTTAATTTCCCAACTAATTTGCAAAGTTCAACAGAATATTATTTGTTTATTAAATTAAAGTTTTTCCACTTTTTCTTCTCTATCCCCCCCCCCCCCCAATCATGGAACATAAACACACATAAATATTCAACACCACCCCCCCCCCTATCAATTTTAAATGAATATATACTAGTTTCAGAATAAACAAACATATAATATATATTTACTAAAATATATTAAATTACAAATAAAAAATATGAAAAAAAATTTGATAAGGAAATGAAAAAAAGTTTTGCCAAAAAAATTAATTTTCCCAAAGGTCATCAAAAAATTTTTTTGGAAAGTTTCAAACTTTATTAATAAAATTTCTTTAAATTTTCGAAAAGAAGATAATTAAAAAATTAAAAATCACCCTCATAACGTTTCATTTTCCAACGATCCTTTCTCTTTCCAAGCATAGCATTTGCCACTCTAGATTGATTTTCACGTCCCATTTCTGTACATATCCAGTCGGATGTTTCAACAAGTCGTTCCAAATTTACACCCTAAAATTTTCAAAAATTTTTAATTAAAATTTCAAAAGATTTTTACAGTGGAGAATCCACATCCTTCAAGCATATAAACAAGATCTTCTGTGGCTAAATTCCCCGTAGCCCCTTTTGCAAATGGACAACCTCCAAGTCCGGCAATACTGCTGTCTGCAACTCTGATACCTTTCTAAATATTATAAAAAATATTCTAGTTTAGAAAAAACCTCAATAGAAATAAGAACATTGCTTAAAGCCTGTCCATAAGTATCATGAAAATGAACGGCAATTTTTGTAAATGGAATAGAAGCTATCGACAATTCATCCAACAAATTTGCAACACTACCTGCAGTTCCAACGCCGATTGTATCACCGAGGCTTACTGAAAACAAAAAAATGAATTAAAAATCCTTACTTTTAAGGTACTCCAAGGTTGAAAATCCTAACAAGGAGAGTTTGCGAGGTGTCCGAGCTAAAAACGGTCGAGACCGGGCTCATTCGATAGAGAATGTGCCCTTTCTAGCAAGGATTTTTTGCCGTTTTTGCCCGTTTTTTGATTTGGCCAAGATATGGCCCGCCAAAGTCCCAAAATTTGGCATATTTTCCCCCCTTCAAATATAAACTTTAAATAATGCGCTTATTTTGTTGGCGCGGTGGTGTAGTGGTGAGTGTGCTTGCGTTACCCTTTTTCTCTAAAAAGTTCGATTCTTTTCGGGTTTTATTTTTTTTATCTAATTGTTTTAAACATTATTTATTCCTTTTTCAACAAAAAAATTTTTTTTGAAAATTTTTTTAATTTTTTTTAAAATTTTTGAAAATTAAAATTTTTTTTTGAAAAAATTATTTCTTATTTTTAAATTTATAAAAATTAAAAAAAAATTATTTGAATTTGCTACACCTGGCACGTCGAATAAAACAATTAGATGTATTACATTCAAAAGGGGTCGATAATGGAAAACAATAACGGATCGGATGATCGAATTTTCCCGGGGAATCTTCTCCTCTCCACCCATTAATTGTCAGGATAAAGTTAAAAAAAATTTTAATTTTCAAAAATTTAAAAAAAAATTTTAATTTTCAAAAATTTTAAAAAAAATTAAAAAAATTTTCAAAAAAAATTTTTTTGTTGAAAAAGGAATAAATAATGTTTAAAACAATTAGATAAAAAAAATAAAACCAGAAAAGAATCGAACTTTTTAGAGAAAAAGGGTAACGCAAGCACACTCACCACTACACCACCGCGCCAACAAAATAAGCGCATTATTTAAAGTTTATATTTGAAGGGGGGAAAATATGCCAAATTTTGGGACTTTGGCGGGCCATATCTTGGCCAAATCAAAAAACGGGCAAAAACGGCAAAAAATCCTTGCTAGAAAGGGCACATTCTCTATCGAATGAGCCCGGTCTCGACCGTTTTTAGCTCGGACACCTCGCAAACTCTCCTTGTAAATTTATAATGAAGTGTATCGTAAATCTTATAGTGAGGTCCAGAGCTGGGCAAAAATAAAATTTTGCCCTCAACAAAACGAAAAAAAAATAAATCATCAGTGTACGGAACGGAAAAAAATAAATTTCATTTTTACGAAACGGAAATTTTCGCCTAGCTCTGAGGAGGGCTGACTTTATTCAATAAAAACCAGGAATAAAATTTTTAAACCCAACCTTCATAACAACCATAGTCAAGCAACCTTTCAGTCATTTTCGTAACCAAAATAGGATCCACATGTCCCTCATAAGGACATCCAAGAACTGTGCTTATATAACCACGCACTTTTAGGCCTGTAATCAGTGCCTCTTCTGTAACTTCTTTAAGACGCTTTTCGCCTTCCTTGATTGAACAATTTAAATTTTTCCTTTAAAAACTGTCAATTAAATTTTTAAAAAATTAAAAAAAACCTGTTAAAAGTATTCGATGCTGCAATAAAAACCGCAATTTCCTTAACATTCCCATTTTTCAGCTTAACTTGAAATGAGTTGCTTAGAAATTTTAAAAGTATAAACTAACAGCATTTTTTAGACCTTCCAAATTAGGAACAAGTACAGGATATGAAACACCTCGAATCTTTTTACAAGCACTAATAACTTCATTACAATCCTCAAACTAAAGAAAAGTTTTTTTAATAAATAAAGAAAATTCAAGTCGGGCCAACACACGGAACGGACAAGTCGCGGAACGACAATCCACGGAATGAACAAAGCACGGAATATTTTAAAAATCTGATGTGAATATTTTTTTTAAATGAGATTTTTTTGAAAAATTAGAATACTTTAAAAAACAGAAGTTTAATCTAAAAATATTCTGATCTTTAAAATATTCCGAGTTGGTCACTCCGTGAGTTGGTCGAATCCCGTAAATTGTCGTTCTGTGACCTGTCTGTTCCGTGATTTGAAATTCTTCGAGTTAGCTCCCACCCAAAAAATTAACCTGTGGAACCCATTTTGGTGAAACAAAGCTGGTTGCCTCAACAGTTTTAAGTCCACATTCAACTAGTCGATTTATCAATTCAATTTTTGTACTTGTTAGTACCATCTGCTAAAAACAAAAATTTAAGTTAATTAAATAAAATAAACCCTTTTTTCGTTTTGCAACCCATCTCTAGGCCCAACTTCCACAATACGAAATGGGCCAGAAGAAAATGAAGAAATTTGTCTATTGAATGTGGAATTTGAAAGTATAAATTTTAAAAATTTGTTGATTGAGGACGTGCTATTTGGATAAAACATTTTCAAGAAAAAATAAACTTTGCTTGAAGAAATAAAAATTAAGGGCAAAAATTCCTGACAAAAAAGATTAAAAATTGCAAAACTTACCTAAAAGTGTTTTAGGTGTTATGTAATTTTTAGAAAGAAAAGTATTTTAGAAAGTTAGACAATTTTCAACACTGTTACACATTTATTTTTCTCTAACTACCACGTATTTTTTGTGTCTAACTTTCAAGGCAGGATTACAAAATATCAACAAACTAAACGCCAAAGGAATTTCTATTTTAATCTTTTTTTGTTAGTCATCTTGTTTTAACACATGTTTAATTGTAAGTGTTGATAAATTATTTTGATTATTTTTTTTTCCGATAACGACAGACCTTTAATTTTAAATTTTTTTTTTATTTGACAACAAAAAATGGCTACAATTCGTCGAAAGTTGGTAATTGTCGGCGACGGTGCTTGCGGAAAGACGTGCCTTTTAATTGTTTGTTTTTCCTCTTTAATACAAAAAACAAATAATTATAGGTATTTAGCAAGGATGATTTTCCTGAAGTTTATGTTCCTACTGTTTTTGAGAATTATGTGGCTGATATTGAGGTTGATCAACGGCAGGTCAACAAATATTTAATTTTTTGATTGGTATGAAAAATTTTTTTGAAGGTTGAACTTGCTTTGTGGGATACTGCTGGACAGGAGGATTATGACCGTCTTCGTCCTTTGAGTTATCCTGATACCAATGTCATCCTCATGTGCTTTAGGTTGGAAATTAAATTTTTTAGAGATCGGCCTGGATCCAGACCTTGGTTTTTCCTAGATCCAGAGTTCTCGACCCTGACTCAAGGAAAAATCAGGGAACACTGAAAAATGCCTTAATCTGGACTCTGGATCCAGACCTTTCTCTAAAACTTTTTGTTCAATTAATTTTTAATTTTAGCATCGATTCGCCGGATTCTCTTGAGAATATTATTGAGAAGTGGACTCCGGAGGTATACAAAATTCTAAAGTTAAAAATAAATTTAATTTAAAAAATTCTTTTAGGTTCGTCATTTCTGTCCGAACGTCCCAATTATTCTTGTTGGAAATAAGAAGGTTTTTTTCTAATTTATGTTTAAGAATTAATTTTTTAAGGATCTTCGAAACGATCCGCAGACTTTGAAAGAATTGGCTAAAAGCAAGCAGGAGCCTGTGACTAGTGAAGCAGCTCAAGCTGTTGCTCAGCAAATTGGAGCGTAATAATTTTTAAATATTTTTTTAATTTTTTAATATTGCTTGTATTATGAAAAATTTTAAAAATCTCCAAAATTTTCTAAGTTAAAAATTTTTCTAGGTATGCATATTTGGAATGTTCGGCTAAATATAAGGAGGTATATAAATTTTATTTTCTTCATAAAATGAATTTCTGGAACAAATTGTAAGTAAGCTAGTGTTATAAAATTTTCCAACTTTGTAATTGGAAAATTTTTATTTTTCATCTGGTTCTATAGAACGAATTCCTGGTATTTTAAGAATCCTGCACTCTTAGGAAATTTTGGGAAGAAAAGGAAATAGAAAGGGGAACACGGTAATATTGAACCGGACAGACCCTCTTTTTTCCTCTCCGATTTTCCCACTATATTTTTGCAAAATGGTCAGACTTTCTCCTTCCATCCAAATTGCCTTTCTAATTTTTGCCTACAATCGGACAAAAAGGATTATTTAATTTATACAAGCGTAAGTACATGCTAAAAACAAGTAAAAGGAGCACGGAAGGAAAGAGAAGTCTGACCATTTTGCAAAAATATAGGGGAAATTGGGGAGGAAAAAAGGAGTCTGTCCGGTTCAATATTACCGGGAACACAAACGACAATAATTTTTTTAATTTTTAATTATTTTGTAAGGGAGTTCAAGAAGTTTTTGAAACTGCTACACGTGCAGCTCTTCAACAAAAGAGTAAAAAGCGAAAGGGATGTTCTGCTCTTTAGAGAAAAATTTTAAAAAATATAAATTAAATAAACTTAAAAAAGTATTTACGAAAGCAATTTTATTGTATTCTTTCCTTTTTCTTTAAAAAAACGCTCATATTTTCTGCATAATATTTTTTGCTTTTTTTTGGATTACTCCATATAAATAAATTAATAAAATATACATAATTAATTTTTATTTAGTCGTAATTGTATATTAACAAGCTTTATTTTATTTTTTGATGGGTTTTTGACGGGTTCGACTTAGAAATCGGCAAAATTGCATTCCCTGGATTTTTTCGAGATTCTTTCCAAAATGTCGAACAGTTCTAGTTCCCGGGATTAATCCCGGAAGTTCCGTTTGTCGCTTAAAACTCGTGATATCGGGACAGGATCCAGTAAAATCCCGTACAGGATCCCTCCTTTGCCAATCTCTAGTTTTAAATGACGTCATTTGAGCCTTTTTAGCTGGTTAACATTTTGATATATTTTTCAGAATTGGCTAGAGATTGAGTTTTTACAGGAGAGTTAGCCATTGAATTATACAAAGTTTTTTCTTTTATTGACGTGAGGTTACAATTTTTTAAATTTCAATAAAATTTTAGATTCCTTAAGAAAAAAAATGGATTTTAACGATGCTACAACATTTAAGGACGTTATGGGATTCAACATAGCTAGTAATGATGTATTTTATGAAGATGATGCTGCTGATACTTCAATTCCTGATATACAGGTTTATATAATTTTTAACGATTTTTTAAAGATTTTTTTAAAGAAAATTACCCGAAAAAACAATATTTTACCAATATGGGGCAACGTACAAACAATGAACTTAAATACTCTTGTACTTGAAAATATAGTCCAAAGTACTTATTGGAAGAATTTTCTTCTTGAAGTTAGCACTTATCAACAAGTTTGTGATGAAGTATTTATTCATGTATGTTTTCATTTTTTAAATGTAAAATGCTAATTTTAATTATTTTTGAAGGTAAGGCATCTTGAGCCGTGGGAGCGTGGAACTCGTAAAATTACTGGAATGACTGGCATGTGTGGCGGGTAAGTCATTGTGGTATGTCAGTTATCAAGGGGTTTGTTGGGGTCTCTTTTTCTATTTTTCTTAAATTGGAGTCAAATCGTTAACTTTTTCCTTTATAGCGTCCGTGGAGTCGGTGCTGGTGGTGTTATCTCCACAGCTTTTTGTCTGCTCTATAAACTTTTTACTGTTCGTGTGACTCGAAAACAATTGGTTGCAATGATGAATAGTAGACAATCAGTTTATTTGAGAGGACTTGCTTTTATGTTTATTCGATATACACAGCCGCCTGGAGATCTTTGGGCGTGGATGGAGCCATATTTGGATGATGAAACTGAAATTGATCCCCGTTCTGGAGGCGGTGACAAAATGCTGTTTGGGCAATTAATTAGGATGATGTTAACTAAGGTTTTTTTAATTTTATAAATTTTGTTAAAGTGAATTTTCCAGCTTGATTTCTATGGAACACTATTTCCTCGAATTCCTATCCCAATCCAAAAAGAGATGGAAACAAAATTTCGTGAACGTGCCAAACTTTATGGATACGAAGATGATCGTTATAGTGATCGTAGACGTTCAAGAAGTAGGGAACGCAGTCCGCGTGGCCGTGATGTTGATTCTGGAGCTGGTATTTTTTAAAAGATTTTTTGTTTAATGAGGAACCATATTGTTATTTAGACTCTGAAAAACGCTCTCGTCATCGTAGTCGAGACCGCAGTCGTGAGCGCCAACATGGTAGCCGTGAACGTAGTCGTGATCGTCATCGAAGCAGTCGTGACCGAAGCCGTGACAGACACCGTACAAGTCGTGAACGAAGGGAAAGTAAACAGAAACGTCGATCTCGAAGTCGTGAACGAAATAAGTATATTTATAAAGTCTGAATTTATAAAAAATTTATTTTTAGAAGCCGTGAACATGAAAATACTTCAATTGATACGTCCACTACTACCCCTGTTGCAATCAAGTCGAGTGATGTTGAAATTCCTTCAAGTAAACGTCGTCATCGACAAAAATGTCATCACCATTTGCGTCATCATCATTGTATAAAGCATCGACGAATATGTCCTTCAAAGGCAAAAAAGCAGCATCAACAACAGTAAATTATTTTTTTTATATTTTCTAACTAGGGCTCGGGCATTTTGTATTGCCGGGCCCGGTATCAGACTAGGGCCATGGTTTCAGGGCTCGAACCTCAAAACCGAAAAAATCGAATCTCATCGAAATACCCGGTTTCCGGGTTGACGGACTCGGAAAACCCCAGGGTTAAGCTCTTTTAAATTCATATTTTTTAAAGAAAAAATTTGGATAATGAGAAAGAGGAAGAAGATGGTCAACAAATAAATAAAAATGAAGATGCTGAAGAAAAAGAAGAATTAATTAATGAAAAAATTGATGAGGATTCAAATGATTTTATTAAAAATGAAGATGAGGAAGAAACTGAAGAAATTAGCTGAACAAAAAATTTTTTTTTTCAATTTTATTAAATGTGTAAAAATGTTATTGAAATTTTTTAAAATTTTTTAAATTTTGATTTTAATTCTTAAAATTATTTTTTAAATATTTCTCTTCGTTATTTTCCCAAATTTTTTTATTTTTTTAGTTTAAAAAAATGAAATCCTTAACGGGATCCTCTGACTTTTTAATTGATGTTGAAAAACAAGAAAGTCTTCTAGATTCTGCATTGAAAATAGTCAAAAATGAATCTTTTGAAATGAAAAGGTCTTTGGATCAAAATGAATTAATGGATGCACTCAAACATGCTGTGCAGATGATTTGTGAATTGAGAACGTCAATTTTAATGCCAAAATTTTACTACAGACTTTGTAAGAAAATTTTTTAAAGCTTTGAATTTTGGGAAGATTGACTGGGAATTGTGGATGAGACGTGTTACCCGGAGAACCATAAACTGGGACATTTTCGACCCTAATTGTAAGTCGGACCTTAAATTTGAAGAAAAATTTAAGAATTTGGCCCGGCTTCTTTTCAACCAGTCCCATCCCTGCCGTCAATCGAAAAATATTAAAACCCTTAAAAAATGATGTTATACAGATATTGACGTTACTAACGAACTTCAACACTTTTTAACATTTTTAACGGATCGTTATTTGGGTGAAGAACAAAAATTTTCGGTTGCAGAATTATACGAGACTGTGCAATATACAGGAAATATTGTTCCAAGATTGTAAGGGGTTTCTTGATTATTTTTTTATTTTTATCTTCAGATATCTTCTAATAACTGTTGGCGTTGTCTACATAAAATCGGGCGAATCTCCTTCCACAGACATTCTTCACGATTTGGTTGAGATGTGTAGAGGAGTTCAACACCCTTTGAGAGGATTATTTCTTCGTAATTATTTATTGACTTCCACAAAAGAATTTATACCCGACAAACCTCCACCTACCCTTTCTCTTTTACAAAATAAAAATAGAAATTCAATGAATGAAGATTTTGGTGAGGATGAAGAAGAAAATAAATTGGAAGATGTGGAGGAAGAAACGACTACTTGTGGGGATGTTCGTGATGCAATAGATTTTATTATGGTTAATTTTGCTGAAATGAACAAACTTTGGGTTCGGATGCAACATCAGGTTTTTTTCTTTTATTTTTAAAATATTTTCTTTGTATCAAGGATGGGATGCGTTACCCGAAATCAAGACTTTTTTCGAACCGAAACAAATTAACTTTTGAAAACCGGCCCGAAACTCGGCTCGCCTTTTTTCTTATGACAGCCCGCTACATTTTTTCTCTGTGTGCCTTTTTAAATGGGCTTGCTCTCGAAACTTTAACCCACAGCTTTTCCATTCCAAAGGCAACACCTACCTTAAATACATTTTTTATTTTTACATTCTTTTTACAAAAAATTTTAGGGGCCTAGCCGTGAGAGTGAAAAACGTGAACGTGAGCGCCGTGAATTGCGTATTCTTGTTGGAACTAATTTAGTTCGTCTATCACAACTACAAAATCTTGAATTGAGTCTATATCGTCAAATTGTACTTCCCGGCATTTTAGAACAATCAGTTTCTTGTAGAGAACCAATATCTCAAGAATATTTAATGGAATGTGTTATACAGGTTTTTTCTTGGGTTTTCAATTGAAAAAGATTTTTCTTCAGGTTTTTCCAGATAATTTTCATTTGGCAACTTTAAACGAATTTTTGGATGCTTGTGGAGAATTACATTCAAATGTTAAAATAAAAAATATTTTGGGACCACTTATAGAACATTTAACATCTTTTGCAATGACAGAAGAAAATAGCTTGCCCCAAGATAATAATCTCTTTAATTTATTTTCTAAACATATTGACAAAATGGTTGAATCTCGTAGTCAAATGCCTTTTGATGAAATTATTTCTATACAGGTTTTTTTATTTATTTTTTGAGAAATTTTAATATTTTTTTAAAGATCGCCCTTCTGAGTTTAGCTTTGAATTGTTATAGAGATCGTCCAGAATTGGCTGACACAGTTTACTCAACAACAATTCAAATTGTAGAAAGACGAAATATTCAAAAGTTTGTTTTCTTTTATTAAAATTTTTAATTTCTCTAATAAGGGAGGACCGTATTTTCTTGCGAGTGCGAATTTGTTATATTTTTTGGTACCTTTCGATAAAGCACCTCGATTTCCTGTTGCGACTGATATGTTATTAGATTATTGACTTTGACGGGTCTATAATTTGCCTCCTAATTTTGCAGGAAAACCGATTTTATTTTGCATTAAGTCGGCATCCTCTATCGAAGTGTACCAAGAACAATACCAAATTCGCACTTAAACCAAAAACAATACCTAACCAAAAATTAAATCTCATTAATTTTTAAGTATTTTGGCAAATTCTTTAATTGGACGCGAATTAACAAAATTACTTAAATTACCTATTGAAAACTATAATAATATTATTGAATTATTGGCTTTGGAATCTTATTCAAATATTTTACAATTATTAGACATTTATGGACAAAGGAAAATTGCAGCATTTATTATTGAAAATGCTTTAGAAAATAATACATTAATTGAATGTGAAGAGCATTTGGATAAGGTTATATAATTTTTTTTATTTTTAGAATTTAATATTAAGTACATGTGATTTGTTTTTAGATTCGTTTTTTAATTTTAAAATTTTCGAGAGCTAGGATTTTCCTAAGGAGATTAGAATTTCTAGAAAAAAATCCTAAATTATGACTAGGATTTTTTGAAAGCCATAATCCTTAACCCTGCCATTTGAAAAAAATTATAGGTTTTCAGAATTCTTTTTAATTTTTTAATTTAATTTATTTATTCACTGAAAAGGACCTTATACATAAGTAGGGCTCGGATTTATATTTAAATAAATCACTGAAGCGGCCCTGCCCGCGAACTGACCACTGTCTCTCCATTTTTTTATTACATCTATCACCGGTCATTTCTGTCTTTCTTCTATTAGAACTCAATAGTCAGACACCGTTCAGTCAAGGCTTGTTCATGATCAAGGTCGTTTTTGTGCCCCATTTAAATATTAATCCGAGCCCTACTTATAAGAAGGCTACTAACAATCAGATAAATATGTTTAAGAAAAAAAAATTTTCAAAAAACTAGTCAATTTAAAAATCTATTTTTGATTCTTTCTTTAAAAATAAAAATTTCTAATTTTAGTTATTCTCTTTAATTGAATCTCTTTTAATTGATACACCAACAAATAATGACGATATTATTCAACAAAAAACTTCTTTATTAAAATTAAATGGTGGAGGAGGAGGACAAAACAATAACGATGAAATAAATAATTTTAATTTAAATGAACAAAAAGATTTTGAAGAACAACAAATTTTGGTAGCCCGATTAATTCATTTAATACAAAGTGAACATGTTGAAATACATTTTAAGGTTTTTTCTGAATTTTTAAAAATTTTTGGAAAATCAATTTAGTTGCTCAATAAAATGCGTAAAGTATTTGGATCTGGTGGAAATGTTCGTCTACGTTATACTTTGCCTCCAACAATTTTTGTTGCTCATAAATTTGTACTTAAAATTGAAGAAATGAGAGAACAAATTGTATTTTTTTCAATTTTTCACAGAATTTTTTTGAAAAATTTAAGGAGAATTTTGACTCAAGATGTTCAAAAATTTTTCATTTTTGTATTAATACAATAAATGCGTTGAGACAACAAGCAGAAAGGCCAGCATTAGCTCTCAGATTTTATTTACAAGTTTTTTTCTTTTAAGATTTTTTTCAATTATATTTTTAGAGTGCAATTATTGCTGACAGAATAAATTTTGATAAAACATCAGAAACAACTTATGAATTTATTTCAAAGGTTTGTGAACACTTCATTTTTAAATACCTGTTAAAATTAAATACTCATCATTTATGATAGGAATTTTTAAACTTGATTACTCGATAGATGGATTAAGGGATTAACCGCTTAACAAGTAACCCGCTCGTATTAATTTTGTATTTTTTTTGGTTTTTGAGTAGAGCATGGCCATTTCTCCTATAACCAATTTTTGGCTTTTCCCCTACGGTTCCATTTTCGGATAGTTTAGGGCCTTCAAAATTAGGTATTTTTGGAGTGGCTGAGACTTCTTTAGCATGTCCCCTTATTTTAAGACTCGTCCTCATTATCGTGGAGAATTTTTAAGCCCAGAGGATGTCTTAAAACGTGGTTCATCAAAAATTATTTTTTTATAAAAATTCGCTTTTTAAAGGCGTTCTCTGTTTATGAAGAGGAAATATCAGAAAGTAGAGAACAAGTACAATCTCTTACATTACTTATTGCTACAATTACACAAGTTTGAAATTTTCGAAAGATTTTAGTTAAAAATTCCTTTTTAGATAAAAAGTTTAGTTGATGAATCACATGAACCTTTAAGAAATCAATGTGCTTTATACGCTTCTAAATTATTAAAAAGGCCTGATCAAGCACAAATGATATGTCTTGTTGCGAGGGTTTTTTGGTATTCTAGAGTAGGTTTTTTGGAATTTTTTTGGAAAAATTTTTTTGAAATTTTTTGGGAATTTTTTAAAAAAATTTTCGGATATTTTTGAATTTAAAAAATTCTTTTTGGAAAAAATTTTTCCTTTCTTTAAAGGTGTCCGATTTGGGCGGTGAATGTAAAAAAGATGGTGTACGTACAGCAGAATGTTTAAAAAAGGCGACCAAAATTGCATCACAATGTATGGAAGAATTAATGCAGTGTAGCTTATTTATGCATATTTTGCTTGTTAAAATACACTTTTTTGAAGAAAAATGTTTTGAGGTTAGAATTAAATTTTTTTGTATTATTTTAAATGAAAAAATTTTTTAGGTTACCCGTCAAAGTATAGAAGAATTAATTTTGCGTTTGAGAGAAGCACTTGTTCAAATGGATCCACAAAATGAAGTTGACCAAATATCTGAGAAATTGGAGGTTTTTTTTTGAATAAATTTAAAATTTTTTTAATTAAAAAAAATTTTTAAAAGATGGCAATTGAACGTTTTAAACATTTATGTAAACAAAGGGAAGAAACTGAGGAAGATTAATTAAAAAACATACAAAAAAATGCTTCAAACTCCTATAAGTTTATTATTTTAAATTTTATAAAGCACCCAAAAAATGTTTTTTTTTCGTCCTAAAACCTCGTTTTTAGACATCCACTTGGAAAATAATTAACTTTATAAAACCCTCTTGGAACGGAAAAGTTTTTATAATAAAGCTAGGTTAGGCCCTCTTAAATTTTGAGTGCCTACCTGACTTGCCGTTCCTGCCCGATGCTGGGGTTTTTTTTGGACTTTCCTCGTTTTCGACGTCCCTGTTCTTAAGAAAAAGTTCTCTCCGATGGATTAAGGACCACAACCTTATTCGAGGTTATCTAAAAATGAGGTTCAGATGTTAATATACCTATAAAATAATGAGACAGAAATAATATAGTGCCTTTTGACTTAAATATGTATTTTAGGTATTTTATATTTTAAAAAATGTACGTGTTTTCTATGAATGAAAAGGTGTAATGAAAAACACATGCATATTATTGACCACCTTTTATTTTTATTATTCTTTTTAAAAAATTAATTTTTTTATTGTTTTTTGTTGATATTTTTTATGTGATTTTTCCTCTTCTAATTAAAATTTTGTATTTAAAAAATTATTTTTTTAATTAATCTATTTTTATATTCAATTAAAATATTTTTCTTTTTCTTTTAAAAAATTCCAAAAATTATTTCAAGAGAAAAATGTCAAATAAATTTTATGGACAACTAGTAATTGGAGCACCTGGAGCAGGAAAGACAACTTATTGCAACGCTCTTCAACAAATATTTAAAGCAATTAAAAGACCTTTTATTTTGGTTAATTTGGATCCGGCAAATGAAAATATACCTTTTGAGGTTCATGTGGACATTAATGAATTAATTTGTGTTGGGGATGTTATGGAGAAATTTAATTTGGGACCTAATGGAGCACTTCTTTATTGTATGCAAACTTTGGCTGCTAATCTTGATTGGTTTGGAATTTTTTATTAATTAATTTTTTTGATAGAATAAATATTGGCTAATTATTTGTTCACTAATCTTGTGGGTTTTTCGGTTCTCAGAAGGTGTCCGCAACTTTTTGTCCGCAAGTTTTTATTTTTCCTATAATTTTTGAAAACAATTCTTTAATCCAGAGAATGTCGTATAATGTTAAAAAATAAAGCCAAATTGTAAAATTCTGAAAAAAACAATGTCTAGAAAATATTAGGTACCGAGAGGAATCGAACCTCCATCAAAAAAAGGTGTAGTCAGCAACACTACCACTACACCACAAACAATATTTTTTTTAGTTTTTTCTCTTTATCCCTCCATTCACTTTCTCCAAAATAGTTCTGTTTTTTGGAAAAATAAAGAATATGACTTGCGGACAAAAAGTTGCTGATTTTTTTAAATTAATTTTTATTAAATTTTTATTAAAATTTTTAGGTTAGAGGAACGTCTCGAAAAATTTAAAGGTTTTTACCTTATAATTGATATGCCTGGACAAATGGAACTTTATTGTAGTGATGATTCTATCCGAAAAATTATTAATAGGTTTAATACATTACAATGGCAAATTTGTGCTATTTGTCTTAATGATTCTACGCATATGTTGGTTTTTTTCTTAGAAATCTTAGAAAATCTTTTTAGAACCCCCAAATTAATTTTAAACATCTTTTTCCCTTTAATTTAAATAAAAATTAAAAAAAATTTTTTTTCAGTAATGATCCAGGAAAATTTATTTCCGTAATTCTTTCTTCCTTAATGGCTATGATAAATTTAGAAATTACACAAATTAATGTTCTTTCAAAAGTTGATTTACTTTCAACAAAAGATTTGCCTTTTAGTTTAGATTATTTTGAAGAATTGCCTAATCTTAAATATTTGGTTGATTTACTTGATGTAAGAGGGGTTTTTTTCTTAATTTTTTAAATTTTTAAAAAAAACATTGGGGCCGTAGGGATGGGATGGAATTTTTTGTTTCTTATCTAAGGGGCTCGAAAAAAATTCAAAAGATACCCTATAGAAGTTAAAAAATAAATCTAACTTGTTAAAATCCAAAAAATAAAGTTTAGAAAATATTTGACCCCAAGAGGAATCGAACCTCCATCCTAAAAATTTGTGTAGTCACCAACACTAACCACTACACCACAAAAAGTATTTTTCCAAATTTTTTAATTTTAAAGGACCACCCAGCATTATCAATATATAAAAATCTAAACAAACAACTTTGTCAATTAATTGAAGATTATGGACTAATTGGTTTTGTATTGTTAAATATTCAAGAAAAAGAGTCAATACTAAATTTAATAAAAATGGCAGATGATGCAAATGGATTTACTATAGCTTCTTCAAATTGTGAAGATTTTAGAAATTTGGTTTTAAAAAGTTGAATAAATTATTTTTTATATTTTTTTATAATTTTTAAATTTGTTTTTAATCAGATTTTTTACTTTTGGTATAATGCCGTAGTGCTAAGCGCCGAAATACCAAACTCCGCAAAAATATGTCGAAATACCAAAAAAATGTGGATTGTTAACCACCTTCCGTGTTTAACTAGCAACTTTTACCCGCGTGATTAGAATATGTTTGTATGTTTTTTTATTCTTCCAGTTTGGTATTTTGACAGCTTTTTTGGGGGCTTGGTATTACGATGCGTTATCTTTTTTCAAGAAATTTTTTAAAATTTTATTTAATCAGTTTTATTTAAAAAAAGAAAATGTTAAATAGATCTTCTTCAAGTATTAAAAGTGACAGAAATGTTTTTGCTACACCTAAAAGTGGAACACCAAGCTCAGTTTCTAGTCAAATTCCGAGTGCCAAATTAACGTTTATTTTTCTTTTTATTTTTTTTAATTAAAAAAAATTTTTTCAGCGTTGGAATTGGTAAAAGAGTTCGTGATATTGTTGCTATATTTCCTCAAGGAGAGCCAGTTGAGCCTTCAAAGCTGTGTTTTTCTGAACAATTGAATCGGGCCGACAAAAAAGTTTTTACAATGACGAGTTTAGCTAATACTGAATTTTCTTCAAAGGTTTTTAATTTATTATTTTTTATTTGAAAATTAATTTTGGGGGGTTTTGAATGATACTCCTATTTTAGGGGCTTTCCTACGGACTAATTTCTTGTCCTACTTGAACTTCAGTAAAACTCATTGGGTCAAAATACTCAATTTTTAGCTACCGGCCAGAGAAAATCAGGCCTGGCCTACTATAGTTTGGTCTTATTTTCAAAGCTTTCTCGAAATTTCGCTTTCTTTAATTTCAAAATTTCGATTTTTTATCTGAACATCTCCAGTCTAACCTTTAAACTTTTTAAAAATTTAGCCTTTACATATTGACCATGTTGGCATTGAAGAACCACCAGGGAATGGTTTTGAATATGTTTTGGCTATAGTTGATAGAAGAACAGGGCGCCCAATTGAATTTAAACCTGCTGCATTAGTTAGTTTTCAACCGCGATTTCAACCTGGGGAAGAATTGTTAAATGGACGAAAGTTTGTTTTTAGAAGATTTTCAAAAAAATTTTATTTTTTCAGACGTAAAAGTGTTACCAATTATTCCCAAGATTTTTCAATGTCTTTTGATGAAATGAGAACTGAACGTAATAATTTGACAAAAAGTTTTGGAAGTGCAAAAAATGTTAAAAAATTGGAAGCAAATATTAGAAGGAGCATTACAAATGTTTTTTTCTTTTAAATATTTTTTTAAAAAAGTTTGAAAAGAAAAATTTTTAATTTTCTGTTTCTTATAAATTTTCGATTGTCAAAATGTTTATCGGAAATCAGAATTTCGATTATTTTTCAAAAGCAAAATTTCGAAAAATCGAAAGAAAAATTTTGAAATTCGGAAAAAATTACCCGAAATCTTCCAAAAAAATTTAAATAAAAATTTTTTATTTTAAGGAAACACTAGACGCAATGTCAACAACAGCTTTTTCTTCCCCAAATACTTCAATTAAGAAAGAAGAATTTGATGATAGTATTGATTCTTTTTCTACTACTACAACTTTAGACGATGACAAATCTAAATTATTGTCTATTTTGGAAAAGGTTTTTTCTGATATTTTTTGGAAACATTTTTAGTCAGAATTCCTACCAGGGATGTTTTGGATAGACAAAAAAGTCCCGGTAGGAGTTTGGATAGGATTTTCGAAAAATTTTTAGGATCAGGTATCGAATTTCGGATTGAAAAAGTGTCAGGTTTATGGATAACCCCTGGCATTTCTGATTTCTAAGGATCAAAAAAAAAGAAAAAAAATCATTCCTATTATCAATAAATTCCATGGTTCTGGCTTATGGGGGATTAATTTATTTGAAAATTTAATTAAAAAATTTTAAAGGGTACAAGTGGAATGTTACCAAAACCAAATTATGACGCTAAAGTACCTTCTGACGTCTATAAACTTGATCAATTTTTGCCTGATAATTTTGATCAATTTAAATCTGGATATGAACAAGAATCTTTAAAATATTTTAAATCTGTGGATTCTTTTCAATATTTAATTAATTTTGGTAAGGAGGGAAGGGGGAGGGAAGGGGGTTGAAAAAATAATTTTTTTTTCAAATTTTTAGGTGTATCCCCTCTAGTTGCCAAAAGAGTTGGTATTCCTTCACGCCATGTAAATCCAGGAATTCGTTGTACAATTGCATTAAAAATGGTTGTTTTATCAAAATTTGTTCAGGTTATTTATTTTTTTGGGGAAAGAATTTTTTTCTTACGGGTAAAAAAAATTTCAAAAATTTTTTGGGAAGAATTTTTAAATTAAATTTTTATTATTTTCAAGTATTGTTTCAAAAAGAAATCTAGAGCTTTGTCTATATCACTTGGTGATGTTGAAGCTTTTCAACTACCTTCTTTAATGAGTGAATATTTTAGAAAAAAATATTTGGGTTTGTTTATTTTATTTTTTTAATGATTTTTTAAATTTTATATGGACGAAGAGATGGGTGGGATAAAATGTCTCACAAAAATAAAAAAAATTTTTTTGCGGATACTTTTTGAATTGCGGACATTTTTTGCGGATTTTTGAGAAAAATTTTTTTTTAATTTTTTAGGAGAAGGAACAGGCAAAAATGCAATAAAATTCCAAATTCCGGTGGATAAGAAAAACCGTGCTTTAGTAGACCTTTTATGTTTATTACTTCTTTTTGATGGTATTTAATTTTAAAAATTCTAAAATATTTTATTTCTTTTTTAGAGCCCGATTTTATGTTACCCCTATCCCCTTTGGTACAAGAACTTGGGGTTAATGAAACTATGTTAAAAAATTATTTGACAGGATTGGGTTGTATGTAAGTTTTGTTTTTGGAAAAAATAAATTAAATTGTGGACATGTTTAGCGGACAGTTTTCCTTTTGCGAATAGTTTTAGTAGTTTTTTGCGGATTTTTTTTTATTTTGACACTTTGATAAAAAAATATAATGTGTCCAGTCTTTTCATGTTCACTATAAGGGAATTAGGTATTTTTGAATTTATTTTGAAATTAACCTCCCTATAAGATACATCCAATAGATATAATATCTCAATTTAAGATACGTTTTTTAGCTTGGCGTTGACTACCGGGTAGATTGGGCTATTAAATACCCCTCTCTATTTAAAATACAAAGCATTATAAGGTACTATTTTCCGCATTCAAGAGGGTATATGTGCTGTCCAATTTTATTAATAAAGCAAATCTTTTTTAATTTTTCAGTGTTTCTTCAGCTACTGAAGCCCAAGCACTTACTATGAATACGGCAAGTTTTTTTTTAAACTTATACAATAAATTTTTAATATTTTTTAGTTACGTATAGCTAAACTTGTGGGACCTCCAAGTAAAGATTCAGCTTTAGTTTCATCTTTAACCAAAAAGGGGGGTTATAAAAGAAGAAGGAATTGATAAAAAGTAATTTTATATTATTATAATATTTTGCGGACAAGATTGGCGATGTCCGCAAATTTTGCAGACATCTAAAATTTTTTATATTAATACGAAACTCGAAACAAAAATTTGTCTAAACGAAATTTTTAAACACGAAATTTCGCAAAACAACGAAATTTTATTTGATTTTCGCTGGTTCAACCCTTAACAGGAATTCTTGCGAAACACGAAAAAAATTTCGTGTTTCGTAAATTTTTGTTTTTCCACAAATGTCCAATAAGACTTAAGAAAAATATTTTTGATGTTTTTTCATTGTTAATTTAATAATTTATCAAGAAATTTATTTACAAAAAAATAAAATTAGAAATAAAATACCCGTATTAAAAAATACTTTTTTGGTTCTATTTCTTTTTTGATGGTTTAGCAACAAAATGCACACATCTACACAAAGGAATAACACATTTTGTAAAAAATAGAATACTCGAAAGTAAAAACCCCAAACACAAAACTAGCTCTAATGTACAAGTAAATAATTCTGCTGGGGTATTTAAACCGTCTAACCATTGTCGAGGGTCTAAACTTGCAAGGAATGAGTCGACTGAAATTAAGGAATTTTTTATAATTTAAAAATAATTTTTTAAATAAACCTCCCCTTTCATTACATCCAATACATTCGGTTTGTGCCAATTGCCATTGATCAGCAAAATGTTTTTCCTGAAAACGAAATCGTTTTAAAAAGACGAAATTAACGAAAAACGAAATGAATGTTATACGAAATTTCGTGAAACTTGGAATTTCGCGAAACACGAAATTTCGCGAAACAGGAAAACTGACGAAACGAAATTTTTCGAAATACGAAATTTTCCAAAAAGCGAAATAGAAATCCACGAAACGAAATTTCACAAAACACGAAATTTCGCGACAAGAATTTCGTGAAACACGAAATTTCGTAATTACAAAAATAATTTCAAAATTAAGACCTTGATAGGTTCATAAATCAATTCAAGTCTTTGACATATTCGACTGTCAGTATCACCAATAGGATAAAAACAAACTAGTTTGGGGGAATGTACAGAGGTTGCCACAACTCTTTGGAATTTTTCTTTTGTAAATTTCCCAATATCAATACTAAAAATTGAAAAGAATAATTTAAAAAATTTAAAGAATTTTTTCACCTAAAAATACTTTCCATAACAGAAAGTGAATCCGCACTTGAAAATATTTGGCCAATCAAAGTCCCTCTGGCATTCTGAAAAAAATTATTTTTTTAAAATATTTTTGAGTATTTAAATTTACATAAAATGTTAAATTCAAATATCTGTTGGATTCTTTATCAAGAACTGAAAAAATTAAAATTATTAAAAAGGTTAAAATATCGGCTCCGGTTTCCCCAAAAAAGTTAGGAGAGCTGTAGTCAGTCCCCGATAGCCTAAGAATTTAATCCTATTTAAATCACCCTTTTCTCTCAATTTTTCCTTAAGTTATCCCTATCAGAAGAGTAACCGTATCAACATTTTAAATTACAAAAACGAAACGCGAAATACGAAATTTTACGAAACACGAAAAAAATAATTTAGTAAATTTTTTAGTAACGAGTCTTGTATCACTAGGGAGCCTTATACCACGGCGGAATTATTTTCTGAGTATAGAGGCATAGTCTGCTTTAAGAAAAATTTTTACCAATTGTGCCAGTAAAATTACTAAATTTTGAAATATGTCGAACAACATTGGGTTTTGTTTCTGTTCTTATAGTTAACTTTAAAAAATAATTATTTTTTAATTTTATTAAAGTCCCTTACAGTTAAAGCAGCCCCTTCAGCATGTTCCACAATTGCTTCTCTATCTCCTATTTTTATTGAATTTACCCAAGTTTCGTCATTTACTAGTGTTCCCAAATCAAAATTAATTAATTCCTCAATTTGTGATTCTTCCCCCAAATTCCCTCCATTTTTTAATACAAATTGTTCTACATTAAATGTTGTTCTATAACGTTGTGCTTTACAGTCATCTACTCGGATATGCTTAAAAAAATTATTTTTTATTTAGTCACACCTCACCTTTGAAAATAGAAAAAGTGTAGCTTATAGTGAGATGTCTGTTAAATAGAGGATACCTTATAATGAAGGTATATTAAATAGAGGGTTCTCATAATGGAGCGTCATTTAAATAGAAAGTACGTTATGATGGTGTGTCTCTTAAATAGAGGGTGGCTTATAACGAGGGGTATATTAAATAGAGGGCATCGCTTATGCAGCTTCCCACACAATAGCCGACCAGATTTCAGAAGACTGCCTTAAATCGAGGTTATTTAATATTGGGTGTATCTGTATGACTTCAAATTTAAATTAAAAACCTGTGCCTGTGTTATTTTCTCCAATCCTTTCCTAACAATCCATCCACCATTTTTCTCGTCCAAGCGTAACCAACCAAATTTTTCCAAACTATTTTCTCCTGGCCCATTTAAGGGAACACCCTCTCTAAGTTGGGGAGGACTGTCATTAATAATCTGATAGAAATACATTCCCGGCTCTATTTGTCTGTGAGGACGACCACCAACTTAAAAAAAATTTTTCTTTGAAATTTTTTAGAAAAAATACTCAAAATACCCGCATTAATCTCAATTTTGTGTTGACTATTACTGCCTGTTATTTGATTGTGTAATTCTTGACTAACCGCATTTAATTCAAATTTTGTTGTTCCCTTGTTTAATGGAATTCTTAAAATTTCGTCAAAACTTAAAAAAAATTTTTTTGAAAATTTAAAAAATTTTTTTAATTTACGTGTTAGTCCAATGAACCCCTTTTGAAGGTATTTTCCGTTCAAATATTTTGTATCTGAGAACAACCACAGTATTTGGTTGTTTTAAACGAATAGCTTGAAATGTCCAATCCTTATAGGGAGTTATATCTATCTAAAATTAAATTAATTAAAAAATAGTTTCAAAATAATTAAAATTGCCTGGCAACAAATTTCTGCTTTGCCCGAAGTCAAACAACCCGTATTTGCTTGCCCGCCTCTATGCGTTCTATAACAAAGGGAGGAAGTACCGCCGTTATTGTTCGAACAGTTGCTAGAGAAAAAAAAGATTATTAAATACATTCCGGAATGTATAGAAGTATATGATATTTCCGGAAAGTATTATTTAATTGTTTCCGGAATATGTATATTTCCTTCCGGAAATATTATGTATATTTCCGGAATATATAATTTAATTAATATTTCCGGAAACATTATTTATGTATATTTCCGGAAAGTATTGTTCTTCCGGAAACATTATTTATGTATATTTCCGGAAAGTATTGTTTTTCTGGAACTCATAATTGTAATATATATTTATCCGGAAATTATATTTCCTATGAAAATACAATTTCCGGAAAACACATTTTCCGGATATGGGTGTATTACATCTAAATTTCCGGAAAATACAATTATTTGATTTAAATTAAATTATTAGTATTTCTACCGGTATTGATATTTTTCCACACTACAAATTGTCTCGCCACCAACACAGTCACATTTACAACGAGGGGATAGAACAGGAACACCAAATTTGTATTTTCCAGTAATTGCGTGATGTAATTCCAAACTGACTTTAAAATAAATTTTTTTTAAAATTTTTTTTAATTTTTAAAATTTACTATATTCGATAGTATGTAATATTGAAAATTGTTTGTCGGAAGTTGAAGAATCTGATTTTTCATTAATTCTTCCATCATCGATTTCGTCTTCATTTGAATTTTGTAAGTCTTCCAGTGATTTATTTGCCTTAAAAAATATTTTTTTGGAGGGTTAAAAAAATTTTTTCGGAGAAAATTTTTTAATAGATTAAAAATCACCGTTATCATCATACAAAAAGTATCTCCTAAAGTAACAGTTGCCAATTGTAAATGAACAGTCACATTATTATTTAAATTGTTTTGTTGTTGCTTCTCTTCTTGTATTTTCATTGACATTTCTGAAGCTATTACAAAATTGTCTGTACATTGGGGAAGTAGGGATAATTTTTGTTGTTGAGTATTTTGTTGTTGTTTTGTTCTTAAAGTTGTTGTAAATACAAAAATATTAATTTTAAGAAAATTTTGAAGAAAATTAAAAAATAAAAGAAATAAAAAATAAATTAAACATTTTGCCAATTTTTTATTTTTTAGCAACATTCTTAAATTTAAATTTAAAAATATTAATGAAGAAAATTATAATTTATTTAGTATTATACTTTTCAGGAAAATTATAACATAATTCCGGAACGTATAATATGAAAAATACAATTAAAAGTATTCCGCAAAATTACAAAGTAAAACACACTCAAAAAAATCAGAATTTACAATCAAAACACATTTCTATTTTTTGACTGATAAAACGTATTTTTATCAGAATTGGACTGAAATACAAAATAAAATCAGAATTTAAAATTAAAATCAGAATTTACAAATCAGAATTTTTCTTTTAATTATGTATTTCTGTTATATGTATATTAATTTACATCCATAAAAATGCAACATTAAGGGATGTAGAACAAAAGGTATGTTCAAAGTAATAAATTAATTTAACATAAATTTTAAAATTACAAAGAAGGATAATGAAGCGTGAAAATTTTTCTCTTCCAAAAAGCAGCTTTTTCTAATTAAACAACAAAAACGTTCTTTTAACAAAATATATAAAATGTGTTCATCAAGGTCGTAAATCGGATGATGTATTCTCTTTTATTTATTTACTCAATCCAGAAAAGTACATTATTATAAACTCTTAAATGCGCGAACATTTTAATAAATAAAGGTTTTTAAATAAACACATATTTAGGTATAAAACTCTTCAACTGGACAAAACTTAATGGAAGAAACTATAAAAATAAAATCAGAATTTACAATAAATTACAATCACAAGGCAAAAATACAAAAATCAGAATTTGTAATAGAAATACAAAAATCAGAATTTGTAAAGAAAATACAAAAATCAGAATTTGTAAAAAAAATACAAAAATCAGAATTTGTAATAAAAATACAAAAATCAGAATTTGTAAAGAAAATAGAAAAATCAGAATTTGTAATAAAAATACAAAAATCAGAATTTGTAAAGAAAATACAAAAATCAGAATTTGTAGTGAAAATACAAAAATCAGAATTTGTAGTGAAAATACAAAAATCAGAATTTGTAATAAAAATACAAAAATCGGAATTTGTAAAGAAAATACAAAAATCAGAATTTGTGGAGAAAATACAAAAATCGGAATTTCTAATAATTTACATACAATCAAACATGAGAATACACATTCTATTTTAGAAATTTTAATTTTACAAATAAACAACACAATATATTCAAGAAAATAAACAATTCGGAAACAATATTTAAAGATTAATTTAATATAGGTTGGATAACGGAAATTGCTAAGAAAATCATGCTAGATATTTGAATAAAAAAAGGAAAATTCATTGAAGGAGAAAAGCGGCCAATCAAAAATGTAGTTAATTTAAAGGCCACGTCAAGGTCAAAAAGGATTAATCAAAGCCAATGAGGAATTTTATAATATGAAAAAGGAGAGAAATGGTGGCATTTTGCGGGTAAATTGTGTGAAATAAAAAATAAATAAAAAAATCAAGAGCTATTTTTAGAATAAAAAATATTTTGTCCTCAAAATATACTTGACTATTCAACTATTTTAATGCAAATTTTATTCGCTACAATTTTACCTAAACAACTAACTGAAAAGGACAAAATATTGGGTAGTAGTTTTTAATCTAAAATACAATAGGTAAAGAAAAAGAAAATTCTCAAGAAAATACAAATTTATTTTGATTGGGAAAATACAAAAATAAAATCAGAATTTGTATAAATACTTAAATCAGAACTACTAAAAATATGCAAACGAAAATTTGCAATTAATCAAGGAAAAATACAAAAATCAGAATTTGTAATTATTCAGGGAAAAATACAAAAATCAGAATTTGTATTTATTAAAGGAAAAATACAAAAATCAGAATTTGTAATTATTAAAGGAAAAATACAAAAATCAGCATTTGTATTTATTAAAGGAAAAATACAAAAATCAGCATTTGTATTTATTAAAGGAAAAATACAAAAATCAGAATTTGTAATTATTCAGGAAAAAATACAAAAATCAGAATTTGTATTTATTAAAGGAAAAATACAAAAATCAGCATTTGTATTTATTAAAGGAAAAATACAAAAATCAGAATTTGTAATTATTCAGGGAAAAATACAAAAATCAGAATTTGTAATTATTAAAGGAAAAATACAAAAATCAGAATTTGTAATTATTAAAGGAAAAATACAAAAATCAGAATTTGTAATTATTAAAGGAAAAATACAAAAATCAGAATTTGTAATTATTCAGGAAAAAATACAAAAATCAGAATTTGTAATTATTAAAGGAAAAATACAAAAATCAGCATTTGTATTTATTAAAGGAAAAATACAAAAATCAGAATTTGTAATTATTCAGGGAAAAATACAAAAATCAGAATTTGTAATTATTAAAGGAAAAATACAAAAATCAGAATTTGTAATTATTAAAGGAAAAATACAAAAATCAGAATTTGTAATTATTAAAAGAAAAATACAAAAATCAGAATTTGTAATTATTCAGGAAAAAATACAAAAATCAGAATTTGTATTTATTAAAGGAAAAATACAAAAATCAGCATTTGTATTTATTAAAGGAAAAATACAAAAATCAGAATTTGTAATTATTCAGGAAAAAATACAAAAATCAGAATTTGTATTTATTAAAGGAAAAATACAAAAATCAGAATTTGTAATTATTAAAGGAAAAATACAAAAATCAGAATTTGTAATTATTCAGGGAAAAATACAAAAATCAGAATTTGTAATTATTAAAGGAAAAATACAAAAATCAGAATTTGTAATTATTAAAGGAAAAATACAAAAATCAGCATTTGTATTTATTAAAGGAAAAATACAAAAATCAGAATTTGTAATTATTCAGGAAAAAATACAAAAATCAGAATTTGTATTTATTAAAGGAAAAATACAAAAATCAGAATTTGTATTTATTAAAGGAAAAATACAAAAATCAGAATTTGTAATTATTAAAGGAAAAATACAAAAATCAGCATTTGTATTTATTAAAGGAAAAATACAAAAATCAGAATTTGTAATTATTCAGGGAAAAATACAAAAATCAGAATTTGTAATTATTAAAGGAAAAATACAAAAATCAGAATTTGTAATTATTAAAGGAAAAATACAAAAATCAGAATTTGTAATTATTAAAAGAAAAATACAAAAATCAGAATTTGTAATTATTCAGGAAAAAATACAAAAATCAGAATTTGTATTTATTAAAGGAAAAATACAAAAATCAGCATTTGTATTTATTAAAGGAAAAATACAAAAATCAGAATTTGTAATTATTCAGGAAAAAATACAAAAATCAGAATTTGTATTTATTAAAGGAAAAATACAAAAATCAGAATTTGTAATTATTAAAGGAAAAATACAAAAATCAGAATTTGTAATTATTCAGGGAAAAATACAAAAATCAGAATTTGTAATTATTAAAGGAAAAATACAAAAATCAGAATTTGTAATTATTAAAGGAAAAATACAAAAATCAGCATTTGTATTTATTAAAGGAAAAATACAAAAATCAGAATTTGTAATTATTCAGGAAAAAATACAAAAATCAGAATTTGTATTTATTAAAGGAAAAATACAAAAATCAGAATTTGTAATTATAAAAGGAAAAATACAAAAATCAGAATTCGTAATTATTCAGGGAAAAATACAAAAATCAGAATTTGTATTTATTAAAGGAAAAATACAAAAATCAGAATTTGTATTTATTAAAAGAAAAATACAAAAATAAAAAAATACAAAAATCAGAATTTACAATTTACAATCAAAACAACCAACTGTTTAAGTTAAATCAGAAATACAAAAATATCTTTCCGGAAATACAATCCAGAAAATACATAAAAGCAGAATTTGCTATTAAATTGCGCAATGCAAATACATAAATAAATAGTAACAAAGAAATACGAAATAATGCATGCTATTATTTCAAGAGTCTTCTTTTAATACTTGAGATTTTCATCCTTTTAAAAATTATCCATATTTGTATTTAAAATTATTGAGAAAATAATTGCCAAATAATATTCAAATTTTTTAAATAACCTTTTTAATAAAATAAAAATAAATTTATTTTCCAACAATTAAAATAAAATAATATCCTCTCATTGTTCCCGCAATCGTTCCACACTAATAAATTTTATTTTAAAATTTGGTTAGTTCAGTATATTATTATTTAATAGAACAAAAATAAAATTGAAAAAGAGTGAATGATGCAATAAATATAAAATCCGGCATATCCAAAAATAATAAAAAAATAATAAATAGTTATATATACATATGTGATTGTTCATGCATTTCTATACATAAATTCCATTTTTGATTGCCAAAAAATAATTTTTTAAATTTTATTTACAACAAAATTAAAATAAGATTTTTAGAAAAAATTTAAAATTAAAAAATCAGAACAGAATAAATAAATTAAAAACAAAGACATTGCCGTCTACAAAATAACCACTTTGTGGCCGGGTGTGTTTTACAAAAACCAGCACGTTGCCATTCCACACACTTATCAAAACCTTCAGAATCGTCCTGTTATAAAAAAAATTTTGATTAAAATATAATGAAGAAAATAATAATTCTGGTTTTAATTATAATCATAAGTATACGTTTCCGGAATTGTTATAATTTCCGTAAAAATAGAATATACATGAATATACATATATATTCTAAATGATAAGGGAAACTTTCCGGAAACTATAGTTATATTTCCTATATTATATCTTTCCGGAATTATGTTATGTTTTCCGGAAATATAATAAGTAAACTATAATTCCGGAAATATATAACTTGAAATATTCCGGATTGTAAATATGTATACTGATTATAATTCTAATTTTACTTATAATTCTGATTTTAATTCTGATTCATATAATACCCCATGATTTAATTTAAAAATTAATTAAATCACCTCATTTGTACAATCAACCAAGTACTGTCTATTTGATTGAATAGATTTTGGTGTTTTTAAAAGGTCAAAATCAGAATCTAATGGAGGAAATGTTGATGTAATACAATTAATATTATTAATTAATTGTTGTTTAGTAGATGTATAAATTATTTTATTTTCTATAGGTTCTTTCAAAATATTAAATTTTGCCTTATAAAAAATAAAAAAAAGTTTTTTTTAAAAGATGGGAGAGTTAAATAAATTAAAAAAATATAATAGAGGACCCTCTCCAGCTGAGCATTAGTCAAATTATTATTGTCAACTTTATCTTCAAGTATCACATTTGTATTATTATTCTCAGTATCCTTGTTTTGTTCCAGAAAATATTTATCACTAAAAAATATTTTAAAAAATTTTCCAAATCTATTTAATATTTTCCACCTTTTCTGACTTCTCATGCGCGATATTTGGTTATTTTCATTGGTTAAATTATTGCCGTGTAGGGCCATGAAGCTTTCATTAATTTTCGAATTATTGTAGTTGCTATTAGCAGGATAAATTACTTAAAAATATCAGAATTTTCAGAATAGGTATGTATTTTTAAAGATAATTCTGAATAATCAGAATTTTATTTCGGAATTATAAATCAAAAACACAAAAAATTCTGATTAAGGAATTCTGATTTTTAAATTCTGATTGCAAAACTCTGATTAAGAAATTCTGATTACTAAATTCTGATTTTAAAATTACAAATTCTGAAAATAAATTCTGATTACTAAATTCTTATTTTAAAATACAAATTCTGATTTTAAAATTACAAATTCTGAAAATAAATTCTGATTACTAAATTCTGATTTTAAAATACAAATTCTGATTTTAAAATTACAAATTCTGAAAATAAATTCTGATTACTAAATTCTGATTTTGAAATTACAAATTCTGATAATAAATTATTACAAATTCTGTTTTTTTTCAGAATAATTTAATTAAACATACAAACAAGTCTGAAATGCACCAGACAAAGCAAAATAATTAAATTAAATAGAGTAATGAACAAAATTAAATAAATAGTGTGAATATGTATTTTTGCATTAATATTATTTTTAATATTTTCAGAATTTAACCATTCTTTAGGGGAAAATTTGATTTTTTGTTGTTTTTTATTTTTAATATTTTTATTGTTTTCGAAAGAAAAAGCATCTGGCCAACAATAAGAATTATTATTATTGTTGTCTTCTTTATTAAATGAGACAGCAAATGTGTGGTCAAAACGTCTAAAAATTGGAAAAATTTTTTCTGATTTTTCTGAAATTAGAAAAAATATTCTGATTTCTTCAGAATATTTTTTTCTGATTTTTTTTCTTAAATTTTTTCAGAATTTTCTGAAATTTTTCTAAAATTGTTTTTGAATTTTTCTGTTTTCTGAAAAATTTTTCTTTCATTTTTTACCTTTTATTTGTTTTAATATTTGAATTAAAATTATTTTTGCTTTGTCGCATAAAATAATAAGCCCCACCACTTTTGGGCCAGAAATTCAAAAAAATTAATTTTCTCAAAGAAAGGCGAATTTTGATATTTTTAACAAATAAATAAAATCCAAGTAAATCCTCATCCGGAAAATTAGAAAATAAAAAAGTGTGAAGAAAACTTTTCACATTCCCAGTCAATTAGAAACGAAGAACTTCCGCTTTTAAAATGTATTTTTGATGAGGGTAAAGCTAATATATTTTTTATAAATTTGTTTTGGGCGTTAATTTAATTCTCATATTAATGTGAGAAAATCATTGAAAATTTTTTTATTTTTTATTTATTTTTTAAAATTAAGTTAAAATTCTCCTTAACCCTCCCCTATAGTCAGTAAAAATTAATTTATACATTTTCAAATTAATTTATCAAATAAAAAATTAATTGATAAATATTTATAATGCTCAAAATATATTATAAAAATTTTTATATTTATTTTAAAAAATAAAATTCATTCTGATCTCATTCTCATTGAATTTTGAAGACTGCACAAGTTATTGCCTAAAATTGTTAATAAAAATTTTTTTGAATTTTTAGAATTTTTAAAAATAAAAAGCTATCCAAAGGGTTGTCTTAAAAAGACAATCTTTGAATTTTCTCAAAAAAAATTTTTTTCCAAAAAATACCTGATGTCCATCCACACAATAATCAATTACTGAATCACCAGAATACGCAAATGATGGACTATGAGCACAATTAATTATATAATTCCCCCCTAATTTAGCCCTTAATTCTGAATGTATTGCATTTCTTGTACCAACCAAATCTCCAATAATTAAATTCTAAAAAATAATTTTTTTTTCAATTTTCCCAGCAAAAAAACCTTTAAAATAATTCTTTTAATGTGTGGATTATTACAATGATTTTTTTCTTCTCCAATTCTTTTAATTCCCGACTTTGTTGAAACTGGTGTTAATAATGCTGAAGCTCCACTTTCTCTTTTCCTTCTACCACAGCATCCACAGGATGGAGGGGGACAGGGCAATTGGATTTGTGGGAAACATAGAGAAGGTAACTGGGTAAAAAGAATATTATTTTTCTAGAAATGCGGGAAACAGGGATTGGCCAAGCTACCCGAAACCCCACCTACAGAAAAGCTTGAAACCCCAAATTTCTCAAAGCAAGGTTTCCTTCTATGAAAAGAGGATTCCTATTATGCAAGTCCCAGACTACCCATTAAAGGAATAGTTCCATAACTCAAATCCTGGATCGTGTTGGTATCAAAAATAAATTTCCAAGGGATCGGAATGGCACAATCCCTGGTTTACATACAATTTAAGAAGCAATTAATTAAAAAATATAATTAATTTACAGCAATTGGAGGTGGTTGTGGAATACATGGTTGTGGCATACAAGGGCCTAAATTTAATGTTTCAGATGACTAGAAATAAATTTAAAAATTTTTTATATTTAAATAATAAATATAATTTTAAAACAATTAAAATTAACATCCACATCCTCCACCAAACCCAAACCCTTCAGTTAAAGTTGTTAACAATAAAATTCCATAAATAATTAAATAAAATAATAAAATTAATTTTGGCATTAATAATCAAGCAGATTTATTAATATAAATAAAATGGGTCATAAAATAAATTTTAAAAATTTTTTAAAAAATTTTAGAAAATTGGATCGTTTATTTTGCTTTATAAAATAATTTTAAAAATTATTTTTATATATTTCGGATTTTTTTTATTTTTATTTAAAGGCGTTTTATTGTTAGCTGGTAACATTGAACGCGGTTTTTTGTTTTGCTTAAAGCCGGTTGTTTAATAAAATAAATAAATAATAAATTTGTTTTGAAGTATATATTAATAACAAACAAATAAAAAAATTTTCTTTTCTTTTCTTTACCCTCCATTATAATTCAACACTTTTAAAAAAAGCGAAAAGAAAAAAAATTATTTTTTTTGTTTGTTGACCAATGGAAAGGAACAGAAAATAAAACTTGTTTTTTAATTATTTTAATTAAATTAACAAAAAAATTAAATAAAAAACAGACACATATTTAATTAATTTCCGTCGTTCCCTAATTTTATTAAATCAAAAAAATTATAATTAATTTATTTGTTACTATAATTTTTATTTATCGCAACTTTGTGCGCAAATACAAAAAATAAACAAGTAAATTATAAGGGGGAAAATTATAAGGGGGAAAATACAAGTGTATTTTTGTTCTACACTATTTCCGGTTTAATAAATACATTTAAAATACAAGTGTTTTCCGGAATGTGTTTTCAGGTTCCGGAATGTATTTTTAAAAAACACATATGTATGTATAAACAATATCAGAATTATTTGTATTTTAAATGTGTTTTCTTTTTTCAGAATTGTGTTTTTGTTTAAGGAATTCAGAATTAGTATTTATTTCGATGTTTTTTCAGAATTATGTTTGTATTTTATTTTTTATCAGAATTATGTATTTTCTTTTTTTATCAGAATTATTTAATTCTGTGTTTCAGTTTTTAGAATTATTTTTATTTTAAATGTATTTTATTTTTTCAGAATTGTGTTTTTGTTGTGTTTTACAACAAAATCAGAATTGTGTTTTTGTTTTGGTGTTTCAGAATTATTTGTTTCGGTATTTTTTCAGAATTGTGTTTGTATTGTATTTTTTATCAGAATTATTTAATTCTGTGTTTCAGTTTTCAGAATTATTTCTTGAATTTTCTGGTTTCAGAACTATACTCATTTTAAATTTGTATTTTCTTTTTCAGAATTATGTTTGTATTTTCTTTTTTTATGCAGTAATTATTGTATTTATTTGTATTTTCTTGTATTTTTTGAAAAGTATTTTTAACACTTTATTATATAAACACATTTTAACTAAAAATATAAAAAATAGAAATTTGTGATTTTCTTGTCAATTCTCCTCTAAACTATCACATTTTAATTAAAAAATAAATTATAATTGAACTGCTGACAATTTAGCAATAATATCTTCTGATAATACAAGGGTCTTTGGTTTTTCCCCTAAAAAATAAATTTTTTTAGAATTTATTTTTGAAAATTAAATTTTTTACAAGGGAAGTCAGGATTGCCAAAATGCCCATTAGCTGCAGTTTGTCGATAAATTGGCTCTCTAAGACCGAGTTGGCTAAAAAATAATTTTTTAAATTTTTAATTAATTTAAAAAATTTTTTTCTTGCCTGATAATCGCCCCAGGCCGTAAATCAAAATTTTGTTTAACAACTCGAAGCAAATCGAATTCGCTAATTGGAGACGTCCCAAAATGAGTGACCATTATCTTTATTAATTTTGAAATTTAATTTAAAAAATATTTATTTGTTACAGAAAGGGGTTCAGCAATTCCAATAGCATAGGAAATTTGAACTAGGCAACGACGGCAAAGACCCTTTAAGAAGAGAATTTTAATTAAAAAATTTTTTTAATTAATTACCGCTTTAACCAAACTTTTAGAGACCCAACGAGCGGCATAAGCAGCAGAACGATCAACTTTTGTTGGGTCTTTGCCGGAAAAGGCACCTCCTCCGTGGGCTCCCCAGCCTCCATAAGTATCAACCTTGAGGAAAATAAAATAATTTTTTTTATTAAAAAATTATTAACAATTATTTTGCGTCCGGTAAGTCCAGCATCCCCCATAGGTCCACCAATGACAAAAGAACCGCAAGGATTTAAATGAAGTTTGGTTTCTTTAGTGTAGAGATTGGGAGGAATCACCTTTAATTAAAAATTAATTTTATTATTAATTGAGAAAAATACAAATTATTTAAAAAATACAAAATCAGAATTTAAAAATAAAAACACAACTATTAAATTAATAATGTTTAAAAAATCAGAATATATCAGAATTTTTTATTTTTGTAATTCTGATTTTTGTGTTTTATATTTTTTGTGTTTTCTTATTTGTATTTTCATTTTGTAATTCTGATTTTTGTATTTTCTGATTTTAATTAATATTATTAATTCTGATTTGTAATGTATTTTTCTAATTTGTAATTTTATATTACAATTCTGATTTGTATTTTAGATTTATTTTTTGTATTTTTGTTTGTAATTCTCTCTCTATTAATTCTGATTTGTAATTTTGTATTTTTGTATTTTTCCAAGTTTATTTTACAATTTAATTTACATATTCTGATTAAATTTACAACAGAAAATACATTTTCCTTTTACAAATTAAATATTACCTCTTTAATTACCAGATTTTCAACTTGTTCCCTTACTTTCTCTAAAGAGATATCTGGAGCATGTTGAACAGACATTACTATCTTTATTAGAAAATATTTTTAATTTTTTTTCGCAAATTATTTAATTACAGTGTGAACTCGCAAAGCCACACAAGCTCCATTTTCATAGGCATATTCTATAGTAACTTGAGATTTAGAATCTGGCCGTGCCCATGGCAAGCTTCCATCACGACGTCTTTCGTGATACTTGGCATTTAATTGATGAGAAAGTAAAAGGGTTAAAGGCATAGTTTCTTTACTTTCGTCGGAGGCATAACCGAACATTATACCCTTTAAATTAAATTAAAATTTTTTCCCTAAAATTTTTACTTGATCCCCAGCACCCAAATTCTCTTCATTTTTATTTTGGTGTACTCCCGCTGCAATTTCTGGTGATTGTTCTTCTATTGCAACTAATACATTGCAGGTTTTATAATCAAAACCTGTAAATTTAAAAATCAGAATTTTTTTGAAAATCAGAATTTTTTAAAAAATCAGAATTTTTTTAAAAAATCAGAATAATTTTAAAAATACAAAGAATATACAAAATACCTTTACTAGAATCATCATAACCAATCTTTTTTATCGTCTCTCTAACAATTGCTTGATAATCTACCTTTGCTTTTGATGTAATTTCCTATAAAAAGGATAAAATTAATTAAAAGAAAATAAATAAAAAACACACCCCACAAACTAAAACCATCCCTGTTTTGGTAACGGTCTCTGAAAAAATATAGTTTTTAAATAAATATTAAGATTAAAATTATTACCACATGCAACTTTTGCATGAGGATCAATTGCTAAATGTGCATCTAATATTGCATCAGAAATCTAAAAAATTAATTAATGTATTTTCCATAAAAATTATTAAGAAATACAAATCAGAAAAATATTAAAACAAAAACACAAATCAGAATAACCAGAATTATTTTACACACAGACGAAAACACAAAATATTAAAATCAGAATTTTTTAAAAATACAAATCAGAATTTAATTTGTGTTTTTCTGTGCGGACAAAAACACAAAATATTAAAATCAGAATTTTTTAAAAATACAAATCAGAATTTAATTTGTGTTTTTTTTTCTGATTTGTAATTTAATTTTCAGAATATGTATTTTTGTATTTTCTGATTTGTAATTAATATTTATTCTGATTTTTTGTATTTTTATCTTCTGATTTTTAATTTAATTGTATTTTTGTATTTTAAATATTTCTGAGTTGTATTTTTTGTTTTTATTTTTTGTATTTTTCATATAATTTTTTAATTTATATTTATTTGCACAAAATATACTTAATAATCGTTCTATTAAAATTTCAATGAAATATTAAAACTGATAACAACCAAAAATTTTATAAAATTAATTTTAAAGGGTATTTCTCGTTTTTATGTGAATTTAGAAAAATTAAAAAATTGTTTATAATAAAATATGTATTTAATTAAAAAATAAATAAATGGGTAGACTTACTTGATCGCACATTTCTAAATTTAAAAAAAATTAAAAAAAAAATTGAAAAATTAAATTTTTATTGGAATAAAGAAAGTGATTTCATAAAAAATCAAAAATTAATTTTCAGAAAAAAAATTTTCAAAAAATTTTCTGGGAATAAAAAGATAACTAAGGTATGATTTAATAATATAATTATCTCTTCGAAAAAATATTTTTTTTAATTTTCAGAAAATTTTTCAAAAAATCATGAATTATTTTTCAGAAAAAATTTTTCAGAAAAAAAATATTTTTTTTTCAAATAAAATTCCAAAAAACGCTCACTGTCAGGATGTCCTTCCCCAACAGATTCAGAAGTAAACAAAAATGTATTATTATTATTATAAAAATTATAATTATTATTATTATTTAATTCAATTATCGAATCAACAATTAAATTATTATTTTTATTATTGCCATTTAATAAAGAATTGGTTTTTAAAATATTATTGGAATTATTATTAAAATGATGAGAATTTGTGTTTGTTGAAGGGGTTACTGTTTGGGCTAATAATTCTGTTGTTAGCATTTTTAAGGAATTTTTTAAGAATTTTTTTTTAATTTTTAAGTGAATATTTGAATAAGAATTAAGGCAAAATTAAATATTTTTTAAAAATATCTAAAAATTATTATCATTTTAAAAATTAATTTTTGTAAAAATTATGGTAAGGAAATGAATGAAGACAATTTTTAAAGCAAATAAAAATTAATGTGGAGTTTTCTAATTTTTTTTTAAATTCCTCCATAAATTTATAAAATAATTAAAAGGTAAAAAATAATTAAAAAAGAGGGCAAAAGATTATTTTGATAACAAAATAAATAAAATAAAATAATTTGTGCTGAAGTAGAAGTTTTTTTAAATAAAGGAATTTTAATTTTTAAATAATCGCAATTATTTCAAAATTAGGGAATCCAATTTTTTTATTATTAAAAAAAATAAAATTAAATAAATATTAATTTTACCAGTTAAAGCAACACTTTACTAATTAAAAAATTTAATTGTTTGCAAAGAAAAGGGTAAATTAAAGGCCTATTTATATGCTGATATTTTTAACGGGAATTTTCTGTTTGGGAAATTCATTTTTTGTTAAATTAGGAAAAATATATAGAAATATTTGTAGTTTAGCAGTATATTAAATGAGGTGATTTTACAAATTTTGAAAATTAAAAATAATATGTAGCAGAATCAAAAAATATATAGAATAGTTGTATTTTCCGGAACAATAGTTGTATTAATATTCCGGAATAAGTTGTATTTTCTATTATTAGGCAAAGAATATATTAATTCCGGAAACAAATAATTGTATTTTCCGGAATACAATAAGTAGAATAATTAATTCCGGAAAAATATATTCTTTCCGGAATTAATATGTATATACAACCGATAATTCCGGAATAGTATTATTTTAATTTAAAAAAAATAATTTGTATTGTTCCGGAAAAACTCATAATTAATAGGTATAGAATTATTGTATTTTCCGGAAATAATTGTATTATAATTCCGGAAAGGTATTTTATTAGGGAAAGGTTATTTTAATTCCGGAAACAAATAATTGTATTTTCCGGAAAATATAATTAAAAGAAACAAAACTCTAGTACACAACTACACATGCTATTATTAATTTCAAAACAAAATAATATTTTTACAATTTTCAGAAAAAGTTCATTTATTTTTTGAAACAATGGGATAATCATTTAATTTATAGACAAATAAAGTTTTTAAATTTATATTTATATACAACCTTAAATAAAAATAAAGAGCAAAAATTTAAATTAATTACATCATCAACTAACTAAATTTCTTAAAATGATTAAATAAATATAAATTTCGTCATTAAAAATATTCTAAATAAATAGACAAAAAATATGGGAAATGTTTTTTTAATGAGTTAATATTAATGTTAAGTTGCATCATTATTTTATCATTTATTATGCGAGAAAGAAAAGGAAAGAGAAAATTGCGAGATTAATAAATAAATCAAAGTAAATATTCAAAAATCGAGATTTTTTGTTGTGGTTATTAAATTTTTATTTCCGGTTGAATTTTAGAAAATAAAATAAAAAATTAAATTAATTCAGAAAATATAGGTACCTATTTTTTAGAGCTGTTCGAGACCAGACCTGGTCACGGATACTGATTTTGGTTTCGTATCCGGATATTTACGGCGGATACAGGCGGATATCCGCAGTCATTTTGGTATTATCTGTATCCATATCCGTATCCATGACCAGGTCTGTTCGAGACTATTGGTCTTGAGTCTTGACCCTAAAATTTTTTGGGCTTTTTTCGGTCATAGTTTTGGATCGAAGTCTCGAGTCTTGGAAGATTTTCGGTTTCGGACAGCTCTTCTATTTTTTGTTCTTTATATTGTAACACAAACTTAAAAGACTTAAAAATGAAGAACAAAAAGAGAGAACAAATGGAAACAAGTTTTATTACCTAAATATGTACCTACAAAATTGAAACAGGAAATAAAATAATTTATAAAAAAATTAGTTTCCTCTTAAAAACTTTTTTTTAATTTTTTAAAGATTAAATATTGTAAAATTTAATTAAATTAAAAAATTAATCATTCAAAAATCATTCAAAAAAAATTCTGAGTAAAAAATATAATTAAAATTAATTTTAGTTCATTTATATATACTCAATTTAATTTTTAATTTCCTTCTTATCAGACGATTAATATTTAAAATATAATTAAAATCATAGGGTACACGCACAAAAGATATAGTATGTATAGTAGTTGTATGTATACGCGTGTGGTGTGTCACACGAGGTTTGTGTGTTTGTTTTAAGTTTAATTAATTAGTAAAAATGTGATTTTGTATTTTGTAAATAAATATTGTGATTAGAAAATAAGAGAAGAGGAGCTTAAAGAAATTATTTAAAATTGGTGGGGCTTTCAAGAGATCTCTGAGGAAAAAAATTTTTGGATAAATAAAATAATCAAAATTTTAAGGAATGATAAGATTGAATCAGTCTCTCGGATTTGACCAGTAAATAGGAATAAAATTTGTGTCTTTCAAGCTTTTAATCTCCAAATACACATATTCATCCCAATCCTCCCAAGCAGTGATTGGAATCTTAAAATTTGCTCCTACTCGTACTTACTCGTATAAGATACGAGTACGAGTAGGTACAAATTTTGGTACGAGCTTCCAATATTGCTCCAAGTCTTGTCTTTATTTAGTTCCAAGACAAAAGGGAAAAAAGGGAACAAAGGGAGACAAAACAGCGCAAAGGAGCGAACGAAACGAAATTTCGGCCATCTCTGATCTCGAATAGTACAAGCTTTATTCAATTTGATTCAAAACTAAAGAAATTTCAAGTTAATGACTTTATCAGAAGGAAGACAAACAAATATATACTGTCGCCTTGCACTCAACTGGCGTCTTTCTTACATTGGCACTCAACTGCCCTTGACTTTTGATTTTCCTGAATTTCGAAAAAATTTTCTGAAATTTTTTAAAGTTTTCAAAAATACTTTTTAAAAATTTTTTTATTTTGCATAATTTTATTGGTTGTTCTATACAATTGTAATATATACTCGGACTTGAATTTTGAATGGCCTCTTTAATAAAGAATCAAATTGTAAAGCATTTGTCAACGTAAATTTTTTTATTTTTTAAATTTTAAGAAATAATTTTTTTATTCAAAAAGTCAAAGAAAAATATTTTTAATGACCGAAACTTGACAGAAAAAATTTTAAAAATTAAAAAATTTTTCTCTTGAATTTTCAACAGATTTGCTCGAAATTTAAAACCTGAACAAATTTCGTTAGAAGTACTTCGAGGAAAAGGACAATTGAGAAATTTGGAGCTTAATGAAGAAGTTATTTCTGAACGGTTAGAGTTTCCTCCTTGGTTGAAAATTGTGAAGGCACATTGCTCGAGGTTTTTTTAAATTTTTTTTGGAAAATTTTTTGTATTTTTTCCTTCTGATTATTGTCGGCTATTTTATTTTCCCTATTTTTCTTGACCTTGAGTCAAGGAAAAATCAAGGAGCTCTGAAAAATGCCTTGATCTGGACTCTGAATCCAGCTCGCTCTCTATTTTTTGTCTAGTTTTCCGGAAATATCAGAATTTGTTATAAACGAAGCTTGGTCCAGTCCAGAAACGGGGTGACCAACCCCTTCTGGGAGAATGACTTTCTGGGTTGATTCTATAAAATTTATTTTTCTGATGAATATTGGATTAAAAATTCCGAAAATTAATTAATTTCTCAAAAATTTTAATTTTTTCCTCACAATTTTTAAATTTAATTTTAGTGTGACTGTTAAAATCCCCTGGACACAAATTAAATCTGCTCCGGTTCAATTGGTTTGGATTTTTTATTAAAAAATTTTTTTTATTTTTTATTTTTCAGTATGTTGAAGAACTACAGGTTTTCCCTTTTAAAAATTAAAAAAAAAATTAATTTTTTTTAAAAAGGTTGTTATTCGACTAGTTACTCCAACTTCCCCAAATATTTCAAAAAAGACAAGCCCTACACAGTTAATTTTTACACCTAATTTAATAAAAAAAATTTTTTTAAGTAATAAATCCTATGATTTACCCGAGCGTGTATTGGAATGTCTTTCTTTGTATGTCCAATCTATTGAAATTTATTTTGAGACGGAGAGTAATTCTACTATTAATTTTGGAGGGTCAATAATGGTAAGGAATTAATTGAAAAATTCTGATTTTTAAATTATTTGTTTTTGTGTCCGGAAACAATTAATTGTTTCTAATAAATTCTGATTTTTCCGGAAAACATTTTTTAATATTTGTGTTTTCCGGAAAAACTGCCTCCATAAACATTTGTTTTTGTTTTTCCGGAAACATTTATTGTTTTTAATTAATTCTAATCTTTCCGGAAAACATTTTTTAAATATTTGTGTTTTTCCGGAAAATTTTGCTTCATAAACATTTGTTTACGTGTTTTCCGGAAACAATTAATTGTTTTTAATTAATTCTGATTCTTTCCGGAAAAATCAGAATTAATTAAAAACAATTAATTATTTCTTTTTTTTAAACATTTAGGGTTTCCGGCAAACTTTGCTTTTTAAACAATCATTTAGGAAAACATTTTCCGGAAACATTCAAATGTTTCTAATAAATTTTGATTTTCCTATTTTTTGGAAACATTTGTTTTTATGTTTCTGGAAAACTAATTTAATTTCAATATTTTTTAAGCTTTCCCATTTGGTGCTAGAAAGTCGTATGCCTAATTTTCATGAATGGCCGAATGGACAAATTCCAAAAATAAATATGACTAGTAAATATATTTTTTTTTATTAAAAAAATTTTTATTTTTTAAAGGAATTCATGAACGAACTTTAGGTCAAGTCCTTTTCTTTAAACATGTCAGTTGGAGAGTTTTAAAAATTGAAGCAAGTCACAATAACAACAACAATTTAAATGAAAAACAAACTCGAAGAGGAAGTGCTTTAAATTCTCCTTTACGTTTACTTACAGAAAATGGACGTTGTCGAATTACTATAAAGAAAAATACTGCAGGTAATTTTATTAAAATATTTTTGTTTTTTCGGCAGCTGTTTTTAATAAATTCTGATTTTTCC